GGTCAACACAGTCCGTCCGGTGCACGGGGGACCGTCCGGTGTCCGGTGAACAGACTCGGACACGAATTGAACGGTACAGTCGGCGTTGTTCCGTGGGCAGAAGCTGAGTCGGCCGGCCTTCCAAACCTGCGCATGACCTCCCCACCTGCCAGAATGGATAAGTCGGCCTTGCTTCAAGCTGTCGGAATGGAGATGCTTTTGGCCCACCAGCTGGAACGAAAGGGATCTACACCTGGAACCAAAGGTTGCACTCAACTCTTCCTTCCACGAGATGCTTTTGACCCGCAAAAACACCAGAAAAGTCCTTGCCCAAAATGTGGAGCAAGGTCCGACTGTGGGGCAACACATCATCCCAGAGACTGGAAGCAGAAAATAACGGATAGCGACCCATCTCGGAGCTGGGTGGGAGACCAGGGTGACCAGGCGCAAGGCACAAGGCACACCATGAGAAGACAGCCCATCGGTCAAATCGTTGCTTGATGGATCTCATATTTTTTGGGTGAGAGACCAGCTAACCCTAAGAACATGTTATCATGATGAATCATGCACCACCCCTAAGGCACAACGGGAAACTCTACTGGCAACGGTATGGAACACTCAGTGCGCTGATTTGTCAGCGCATGGTAGCAGGGCAATGGTAGACACGCCCCCGCAAAGGAACTGATCGTGCTCGTCCACATGCAGTTCCGGCAGTTCCATCTCTGCCAAGACTTGGTTGAAGCATCTCCGACCAGGGGAAAGAATCACACACCCAGACACGACCCATGGGACTGCCATATATGCCACCCCATTGACCCCCAAAACCACCCCAACTGATCGGCATATGTGGCAGTCCCATGGAGTGTCTGGGAAATCTCACCCCTCGTGCTTTCGACGGTTTTTTCGGAAAGTGAAAATCACCAGCCACGGAAATCAGTGCGAGTGGCAAAGCACCACAAAGCAGGCCTCAGCGCTACAGGGACTGCCCCGGTCGGAAGTAGGGGTTCAGGTACCTCCCGCGAATGGGTTCAGTCCCATAGGGTCCAGGTACCTGAGGATGGTCTTAGAGGTGAAAGTACTTCCAGAGAATGGTCTTTGGGACCAAAGGCATCCTCAGGATGGCCCTGGACCCTTGAGCAAGGCCTTCATCTACTGCACTAAACCTCCGCTCCCACCAAGCACTGAAAATGGGTCACCGACAAATGGACTAAGCCTGGACTATCCTACCGTTATCTTGTTGAAATCCACATTGTGTTCCTATGTTGCGCTTTGCCGGGGTGAAGATATACTGCAATCGAAAGCGGTCCACTTGGTTGATATATAACTAACTATATATACGTAAGACACTTATTGGTGTTTGTGAAGCACCTCGTTTTTCCACCAAAGAGGTGTATATGTGAGGGGTTCTTGCTCCTTGAGGTGTTTTTGCTGGGCGGAGGGTTTGATCTGTCTCCAGCTGTGCTGGGTCGCTGTGCCGAAGCTTGGGTCGCGAAGATCCCACCATCCCGAATGCACAAGTCTGCAGGGTCTGCAGGGTGGTAGTTGAACAACAAAATGAAATCAATATTGGATCTTTGCAAACATCACAAGAAACACGGATGCCACAAAGATCAAAGATCATAGGAATTTAGGTGTAATGAGACGCTTCTAGCGGCATTTGTTCAGAGCAAAAGCCTAGCTGGACTGACCTGCGTAACACGTGTGCCAAACAATTCCGTCTTTTCTCCCCAGGAACTTCTCAGTAGCTTTTGATGGATTGAGGTCACACAAGAGGTCTAAAAAGGGCAGCAGGAAGGTCCTCCGCGGATTCCTCTCTCACCACCCCCAGCGTAGACCTGTCAACCTCCGCCCCCCCTGGCCCACCTCCGGTCCCTCCAAACCCTCCTCCGGTCCCAAGGCGCCGCCACCAGGATCCAGTCCTGGCACCGTGGACTGTGCCCGGTCCGGACATCGGCAGTCCTATGGCAGTCCCATGGGAGTGTCTGGGAAGTGTTCACGGGGAGCAACGAATTTACACTGGATCTCTCATCGGTTGGAAGACTAGAGTGACTAGAGGTCATCATCAGGAACCCACCAAAATGATTAGTGGATCCACCGGTCCCATCGGTGGTGTGGGCATAAGCAAATTGCAGCATTTACTCCGCCAAAATCCCCCAAAACCTAATATTATATTATATATCTCTTTGACTTCTTTTGCATGATGCAGTCACAAGTCACAAGGATCCCTCGACAGTTCAAGACAATCCAAGCTTGGTGCCAACTTTGTATTAGAGAATGGTGCATGGTTTGTATTGTAGTCAAAACATATCCATCATTGACAGAGCCATTTCGATGACAAATCTGTTGCCAGCAAGTACAAACAGAACAAAACTAACCAAACAGCACCACTTCTACCCACAACATGTTATCAGAAAAAATTTGAACAGTTGTCTTTAGGTCACTTTGCCCTAAACGAGTAGCTAAAACCATCTAAAAACCCACGCCCACATTCCAATCATTGCGTCTCTTTCCCACACCTGGTACTCTGTATCAATGTCTAAGCGGAAGGGCCATTTGTCATAGATGATGCCGCGCCTGGCGCCAACGGTTCAAGCGAAAACGGACCCTGCAGCTCACTACACCACCCATTGTCACTTAGTAGAACATCTGATCAATTCAGATCATCTCTTCCCAGTTCGGTGTTTGGGTGAACATCGTTCAACCGTTCTTTGGCGGCACCAGTTTGGTCGACACCGTCGACAGCCGGTGTGGACGTCGATCCGGGAATTTCATCCACGGCGTGTGGCTCCCCCGTCAGACCGACCCCTTGACACTCCACCCACACCAACCATCGAAGCTTCAGGAAGTCCAGCCCAAACGGGAGCTCATATGGAGCGCCCCTGGCTGTTTCACAGCCTTTTCGCCATGGTTTCAGAATAAATCAATAAAATTCAATAAATACACACACCTTACAATGTCCTTCAGAGGTGGGTCCAGATAGACTACGAGGATTGTGCCATCGAACCTCTGAAACCACTGTAATTCTCTGAGGTTCCATGAGCCCTGTGAGAAAGTGTTGTGCGGATCCTGAACTGAACCACTCGCACACATCGGTGGCGCTGAAGTTCTTTTCTACCCGTGCTCTCCGGTACAGCTCAGCATGGGATGGAATATGATGGAATTAAACAAACGACCAACCATGTGAGCAATGAAGTCTGGAATCCTTCTCAGAAAACGGCTTCCTGGTGAGGCTGGTTAGTACCGACCATGCCGCTGACGCTGCTCCTGAAGCCAGGGTGGTGCAGCCCACTCCATCATTCTGATCGATCCCTGCCGCCGTCTGGAAGGTGGGACGTGCAGCCGCTCGGGCTCGGCGGGTGGTGGACGTTTGCACAGCAAGCGGTGTAAGAATCGCTGCCAAAGGCTGGCAGGTCCAGGGGGGTGGGAGGCCTTGGCACAATAGTACACCATACACTCCTTGGACTTGCTGATTCGTAAGACACTTGGAGACAAATGTGAAGCACACACACACACACATATATATATATACATATACATAAACATTTGTGTATATTAATGGTTCCTTTCCCGCCTTTTTTTGTGATTTGTTCTGCCATGTTCTCCCATCCCCAAATTACCCATGCTTTAGACAACCGCTGCGTGAACATGATGTGTGAACATGATATGAGTTGATATATGAGCATAATGATGTGAACAATGTAAAGACATGGCAAACAAAAGGGTGCAAAAGGTAATTGACACTTTTCTGATTTGTTGTGGTCAAACATGTGATAATTGCAATGTCATTGTTCTACGGAGTCACAGGAACGTGCTGACCCACGCTGGCCGATCTTCCTGGAACAAAGAAATGCAACATATTGCACAAATCCACACAGAGTTCTTCTTTCTCTTTGGCAATTTGCAGGTGTCAAAACGTCACTTGGCAAATTTGCCACGGAAACTGCAGCTGCTTGAGACTGCTCTTGTCCATCTTTCCGTGCCAACCCCTAGGAGAGGCCAACCCTAGGACAGCGACTGTGCCCTGGGGGCCCTGGGGCACACCGGAGCGAGAATGAACTGCCGGGCTACCGGAACTGGTGCCCTCCAAGTGGAAGCCCTTGGCTCCAGGAGCCGATCTCATCACCAGCACCGTGCAGAGACGACGACTCGCGAAGACTTAACGTCACTAGAAATTCTTCATGTACTGCCGTGCGTGAGGAGGCAGATGGGGCCAGCAGCCTACGGCAAGAGAAAGGATTGTGCATACAGATTGACAAAATGTCATCAGATTGGGAAGACCTGCATGACATCGACTTGTGACTTGTATATGTAATCACCGTATGTAACCCAAATGCTCCATGTATGCCATATATTTACCTACATTGACCCTAAAACCACCCCAACTGATCGGCAAATATGGCAGTCCCATGGATCCTTTGTTATAATGTATACAGACCTGCTGCTTGGGATGTCATTGGCTCTTCCTGGTCGACCGGACATGTCCCAAATGAATTCCAAATGACCTCCGTTCCGTCGTTGGTCCGTTCGACGCGACGACGAGACGGGTCGATCCGGGGACGAGCTGCGAGTGGCAGACCGTGCTGCGAGTGGCAGACCGTGCTCTTGGAAGGAGGTTGTCTGGCTCCACAAATAGGGCAAGCAAGTGCGAATAGGTGAGTGACAGCACTGGTTTGTGCACTGGCTTGCACAGGTTTCAACACATTAGTTGCCTCAATATGAGGCTGAGTCATGTCCAACAGCAGGTGCCTGTTTTCTGTTTGTGTGTGTGTGCACGCGTTTTCTTCACACCACTTCTCGCATGCCACAGGTTTTCCACAAGAGTCATCGGGGGCTATCGTTTTTTCTTATTTATCGTTTATCGTTTTACAGGGGATTGAGATGGATTGAGCATGCTTCCAAAAAAGGGACATGCAAATACTAATTTCTTGCATGGCGGGTTTCTATACTCTCTCTTCGAGAAAACCCACCAGTACAACAAAACAACCTGCAAAGACTATGTCTCAGAATGTCTTAAACATGGTCTGAGGTTTTTGTCAACCACAGTCTCTCCAGTGTGTTTGTTTTCTCGAGGTGTTGGTCAACTATAGTATAGTTTCCGCATATTTCGGCAGTATCCTTTTTTGATCGAAAGTCTAACCTTTAAGTTATGCTTGCTTGCACAGTTTTTAGGTGAGCAGCACATTTTTGATCGAAAGTCTAACTTTTAAGTTATGCTTGCTTGCACAGTTTTTAGGTGGGCAGCACATGTAAATGTTTCAAACTGTCAAACACATAGTTTCCTTCGCGGCAGCATAAATGTTAGTAATGTTGAATGAGGCTACACAAAATGGAGGAGCATTTGATCTTAATTTACTAACCCTGGGAATCAAACGGAAAACAACACAAAAAACAATCTCAGCTAGCCGAGGACTCATTGAAGTGCTCTACTCCATATGGAAGTCGGTGCAAAGTCGCCTCAAGAGAATCGCGGTTCCATTGGCCTGGCACCAGAAACCCGTGGTAGCATTGCAGCTGGCTCAGGTCGAACGTTCGAAAATCCCAACGTGGTCCACTCGAATCATAACTTTGAACCATGCCCTCCAAAGGAATGTCCAAAAGCATTGCATCCAAGAGTTCGCCTACACACCACAGATGGGCAAAATGCAGTTCATCCACCAGAAAAATGCATCGCAGCGATGGCATCTTAAGTTGCAAAATTTCAAGTACCTCTTGAGATTTATTCAGTTCACACTGAAATGACAGTGACCATGCCTTTCTATTGCCGCAATCACACGTGTAATACTGTGTGCCTGTGACGGAGTCTCTGTCTCCAGCGGGGTTCCCACCACAAATGGACGTGTGCTGGTTGATGCAAAAGGCGTCAAGCCAATAAGCGCACGAACCCACCTCATGCTTGGCCACCTCCACGAGTACCTCCACGGAACCACCTTCGCACAACGACTCGAGGACTCCGCCAAACGTTGACCTTTGCAATGCATTGGCGGTGATTCGGGCGAGCACCGTGGCAAATGGCATCTGCCAGTTTTGGCTTACAAAGCAGCAGGCTGGGGCAGCACCCCATGGCTTGAGCACGGTCGAAAATGCAAAAGCTGGCCATCGTGGGGTGCAAGAGTTGTGCGCAGTGCTGCGCTCCAAACTCCTTCGGTATCTGGGAAAAGCCACGGAATTGGGGATGATGGCGCCTCGAACTACATCGGATGTGGTGCTCAAACGAGCATCGTAGTGGGGCATCATGGTACTCAAAGACCCAAAAAAGTTCAACATGTCGCTCAATTCGATGCTGCGCATGGCCAACTCACGAGATTTGTGCCAGAGCGGGGAAACCAAAATCCCATCCACCGGGTCAGAAAGCAGGGTTTTGACTTCGTGGTTGAATCTGGCTTTGTCCTCGATTTTGGACAAAATCTCATCTTCATCCTCCTTCCTGGAAGCCTTGCACTTTTGAATGTCAAGGTGTTCAAAATGAGGTGTATCCACCAGCATGTCCAAATCATACAACTTGACCCTTTGCAAGATCTGGAGTTTGTGCGCCATATGCATTTCAGCAATACACCATGCCCGGGTGAACAAATCCAAACGTTCATCCACAGCGATCACTTGTCTCATGTCAGAGTATCTGAGAGACATGCATTCCATCATCGGATCAAACTTGTTGAGCTCTGTCAAGTCCCAATCCTTGTTGAAAAACTTCGGAGTAGCACAGCCGCAGAGCGGATACGCTTCTCCCGTGACCGAATCATAGCGTTTCCGATCCCAAGCAGCAAAGTCATCGCCCTGTGGGGCGGGACCAAATCCTCCACAGATGCTGCTGTGCTGATTCACGGTGAAAGCGCAAATCCAATAACTCACCTTAGCCTGGACTGCTGCAACGGCCCGGGCATTCCGTAATCCCCCCACTGCCCAGCAATTCAACACATGGGTGTAACGTTGGGGCCAAGCAGCATGCCGTTTTGGGGGCTGAATGATCGTGAAAGTGGCAAAGATTGAAAAAAGAAACTACTGTGCTTGGTTTGATAAGGCAATGACTGAGTTAATTCTGAGTTAATCAATGTTAATATGTTAATCATTAATACCGGTTCCCATGATTGTAGTTCCAATGTTCGTATAAAATTGTTTAAAACAGGTTATGCACCTACATACCAGACCACATTTGGTCAATACATGTCAATATACCGAATATACTACATCATCCAACCATGTCACGTCCAGCTGACCTCTCTTGGCCAGCTCATCCCTTAACGCTGGCAACTTCTCATCCAAATGCATCAAGAATGGCCCATAGCTTGGCACATCAAAGGCATCCGCCAGAATGGCGGCCACTAGGTGGCTGAAGATGTTGTCCCAGTTGTGCGTCACCATTCGGCTGGCGGGCTGCCTTTCCTAGGAGTGCTGGAGGGCAACACCCCAACCAATGGAGATATATATTCAGATATTCCGCCCACACATAGACTCTCACTCTATGTCATAGATTCTCTAAGCCAAAAATTGGCCGCTTGGATTAGCTTCACATTGAGGGACTTGGCTTTGGGGGAACCATGGGAGAAAAAAAACACCTCCTAGCTAAAGTCCATGACATGAAGTCTCTTCCTCTCCCACTTTGCAGGCATAAGCCTGTCCATGCTCGGACCTCTGACTTGGAGCTGATAAAGGAATGATAGCCTGCCGCACCACGTCATTAGTTGTGCTTCGGGCCGGGTGAAAGCCGGGCATCACAGATTTGCCCAGCAAAGCATAGAAGTCCAGCAGCTGACACAAGCAAATGCCTCGGTCTGCCAGCTCTTGAACCTTCAGGTCCCAAGCAGCTTGGCCTCGATCTGCATCTCTCCTTAAAGCCTTTGGATCCATGTAGCTTGGACCAGGAATTGGCTGATGGCTTGATTGGCTTGATTTGCTGATGGCTCGATTCAATGCATCAGCAGTGGCCAACTTTTTGGGGCCAACGAGTCTGAGTTCTTGAAATATCCCAGACACTCCATGTATGGCATATTTACATACATTGACCACTTTTCAACCACCCCAACTGATCGGTCAATATTCCAGTCCCATGGAGTGTTTGGGTATGTCATTGTTACCTGTTACATATTGCCACCCTTCCGCCCACCATCATGGAGGTGGATGGCACCCACCTGAAGAGACCATGAGTCTTCCGCAGCATGGGCGAGGGGATGCCCTCCACGTAACGGAGGGGCCACGGGACCCATGGGTATGTCTGTCGAGACCATGAAAACGCCGTGCAAACGAGTCGATTCATTGGCAAACCCAGCGAAACTGGATGAATCTGGACTAAACTGTGAATGAATCAAAGTACGGGTTGAGTATCTGCCAAGGATCACCCTTAGGCCAGCATAAGAACGATGATAGCTCTGGTGCAACAAAGTGTTAGTTGGAGTCCTAGGGATTACTATTGCACCTGAGTGCACATGCTGGATTGAATTGATGTCAATGATGGGGCTGTCAGGACGCATTCCGACTGCAAGCTCATCAAGTGGTTACTTTCTTTAATAATGGGATGATGTATGGTCCACAGCATTCTCCGGAGCATTTCTTCCAGTCAGCTGGGTGGTGTTATACTTGAACCATCTTCTCAGGAAGTAGCCCAAACGGGTGGCGTGTTGGAGACCCGGTGGTGATGGCTGTGTTTCAGTGGATTAGAATCGTTCTCCTCGTTGTTCCAGGGAATCCTCCGGTCTCGGAAGAACTCGTTCCTGAGCATATCTGAGCATCCTCAGCCGCCCAGCAGCGGTGCGAGACTGCCGGTCTTTTGTCACACTCGCTTGCTGCAGAGTGGACAGGTTCTGCTCTGCTGCGTGAGCCATCGGTCCACGCAATCGCAGTGGAAGCGGTGTCCACACGGTAACCTGCGGTGTCCATACGGTCACGTGTGGGGGTCCGGGGCTTCGCGCGTGGGGGGGATCAACAGGGGTCAACATATGTGAACAGCAAACAAAGAAGTACTGAGTAGATCCTGGTAGCTTGACCTCTTAGCTTGACCTCTTACCCAAAAGACCTATTGAAGATCAGATAGGTCGACCTTGGTTGCGGTGCGGCCCATCGGGACACACAGGGCTTTACTTTTCCCCCGTCCCACTTCAAAGCCGCTTTTCGTCCGAAGCTGTGGGAGACCTCCAGGCGTCCCAGCCCCCTGGCAAACATCGATCTCAGATATCCATTGGGCCAGGGTGTCTCCCTAGGGGTTCGACTTCTATATGTGGGGTTGCATTAGTGGACCAAAGACCTGGTCACCTCTCAGGCGTCCCAACACCCTGGAAGAAGGAAGATAATCCAAATATCGATTGGGCCAAAGCGGCCAAAGGACTCTCGTGTTAACATACATAGCCAGCCATGTGTCTATCGGATTCTTTACTCAATGAAATCATGGGCCAACGTGGATGGGGAGATGGCCCTGAGGTCGGATGACCATGAGTTCTCTGAAGACCAAAGACCGGTGGTGAACTCCACTTCCATGATGTTGTTCGAGTGTATCAAACTTCAGCCGCAAGGCAGGCCAGCGTGCAGGTGCCCCCCCGAATGATCCAAAAGTACAACTACGCAACCTCTCAGGTGCACCCTTGCTGCTTCCACAACACGCTCTTTGGAAACCAATGCAAAATTAAGCAAACCTCCTCCTTCCACTTGTATCAACCTTGTTAAACATAGTCTTTCACTCTTAAACTTCCAAATCCGCATCCATCCGAGAAATGGCAGCCTGCAAGCTTCTGTATCTCCATCATCCCATGATCCTCAGTCCGAGCCACACACGCAGCTCGTCGCCGCTGGTGTAGTTGGAGAGGCACACTGCGCAGTTGATGCCAGAATCACCTCCACGAGCTTTAAGCACGGCCTGGGGGCGTTGATCAGCGGATCCGGCGGATCCGGTGGATCGTCGCATGGCCGCGGTCGTGGCTCGGGCAGATCTGGGCGGATCTGGATTTCGCCCAGTCCTTTTTGGTGGAGAAGGTGAACAAACCACGAAGCAAACGTCTGGGATCGTCTTACACTAGAGTTCGTGGGGGAAAATGGAATGAAATGAAGATTTCAGCCCTAGGGATCCAAGTACCTTCTCAGAAGGTACTTGGACCCTCCAAGCCTACATAAATAGTCTCCACGCACCTTCTGAGAAGGTACTTGGATCCCTAGGGCAGGGTAAGATCAAGAACTTTTCGAGTTCGGTAAGGAATCTTTTTGCCCTCCGGAGGTCCGGAGGGGTAACGGATGAGAAGATAAGGAATCCTGCACCCACCCTGCAAACTCACATCATTCACATCATTACCACCCTGAAAATGGATCTATATCCCCCAAACACGACCCATGGGACCTGCCATACCAAAATCCCAACGTCGCCCCCAAAATGGCACCTGCCCAACGTCCCTCCCAAAACCGCCCCCAAAATCGGTCGTCTCCCCCGACTGATGTGGGTCCGGATCAGTGAAGCCTGCGGTGAAGGCCCCAGCTCTACGTCTCGTCCCAGGTCGGTGATGCCGCACCGCTCGGACGCGACGGTGTCGGGCATGCCGGATTCTGCTCGGGGGCATCAGAAATCGTCAGGAGGGTCAGGAGGGTCAGGTGAAGAGAAAGGTTCAAGAAGATCAGTATTCAGATGCATCTATTTAGATACCCCCTTTCTGAGTCCAAGAAGTCACTGAGGATGTCCAGGTCTAATCATGCAAGAGCTTGAACAACAAGCATAATTTATGAGGACGTGCACTCCCCCGAACATCTGGAACTAACATGGAAGTAAAATGATTGATTGGAAGACTATTTTCCTACACAAACAGGGGCTTCATGTTAGTTCCAGGCTGAGTAGAGGGTGTTAGTCCATGCATTACTTAGACAACTGTTCGTCCCAAAGCAGAACGAGCCGTTCCAGGGACCCGTTGCTCGCATCGTCGCAGCACGTTTTCGACATGCGATGACGATGCGATGCGAGGGACGTGGAGACGAATCGGGGGCCTTTCTGGATGAAAAGCACCAGAATCAAGGACCCCCAAACCCTCCAGTTCGGAGGGTCCAATGATGGATGAACATTTCAGTCACAAAATGCAAACAGGCGTTCCACGGAATCAGGAGAAAGAACGCATAAATAAACGAACAAACAACATGTCCACCAACCGTATGGTGGAATGATAACACAAACATGGTAGAAGTACTTGACATGAACATGGTAGAAGTACTTGACATGACCACACCAAACTGGACAAAAAAAACACTACTCCCTTACTGACCTCAGTAGATGTCCCGAACCTGCTGGGCCAACCAAGTGATGCTTGGGGTCTCGAAGTTATATTGACACAAGTCACAGAAGCTGAGGGTACACCTTCCCAATTTTCCCAATTCTTCCCTCTTTCTCGGTCAACTTCTCCCTTCCAAACCTGAGCACATGCTCAGAACCAACTCTGCATGGCTCTGCCGAGCTGCTTGGACCAGCTCCGCCTTCTCCACGCCAAGCCCAGACTTCAGAAACTGTTGCCTCAAACGACGTGCCGCACGGAAGGCGCCACGTTGCCCTTCCGAAACACCTGGGATCCTTTGGGGGGCATGAGCAATACAGTACGTATCAGTCCTTTTCATCATGAAGTCATGATCCATGGACCTTCTGGTTTGCTTTTGATGCAAAGTGCCTATGATATACAGCACCTGCTCATGATGTATTATAGTCTATAGTACGTATCAGACTTGATGATGTAGCATGGTGCAGTGATTGAGTCTCAAAATGAGTCCCAAAAAATGCGTCCGGAAGATTGATGTACGTTTTCTCTCCAAAAGACACAACCTGACTCATCAGACTCATCACCTGCCGGAAAACATGCACATCACCTGCTGGACATGTCGCCACGCCCTCTGATCAAAGAATGATGTTGGCTTGACACATGAGTCACGAGCGAGCCTTGGCTGACACAGACTGACACTGATTTAAGGCATACAACCGACACCAATTCCCTTTCACCACACAGCCCCACCATCTCGTGGTTGATTGTGCCGTCCGCTGACTGATCATCCTCCGGGTGGTGCTGACATGCATCAACATGTCGGAGCTTTTGGGTGTTGTGTGCTTCACATGCGCAAGCTTAGGAGTGGCAGAAACCACCTGTTACCGGCATCCATGCTCCTGCCATGCCACCGCGTGACCGGTCAGTGCCGGTCGCGTGAGCCGCGAAGAGCCAATGGTAGCCAAGGTCCGACATCGGCAGGTAGACTGGTAGACTGGTAGCTGTGGCAAAGAGAAAGAGCGATCTAATTGTTGATTACAGTATTTGATCACTTTGCTTGAATGGGTCTTAAGGGTATTGCCCCCTCAGAAGGAATGAGGACCTCCTCCTCCTCCAGCAATAGTTCCTTCACGCCCGATGCCGCCCGGGTCTGTGAGCGACATCTCCGAGCGACATCTCCCGGGTCTCGCGGCCGCCGGCGAAGGTCATCCGCAGCTCGGCCTGGGCTCCCGTCGAGACGGACTTGGGGCCGGTCATGCTTCGGAGTGCGTCGAGAAGATCCCTGCAGAGTGCACTGGATGGATCAAACATACTTTCAATCCAAGTAGCGCATAGAATCCAGAACATTCAGTTGGCTTTCTGCCAGATCTGGCCTCTTTTTAACAGGGGGATTCAGACCATTTCCAGTCTCCCTGTGGCCTTCAGAAGTTGCATCTTGGTCTCGAGTCTTGAGTCTCGACCTACTGCGTCGATGAGGAGGACAGGACCTACTGCAGCGATCTCCTGACCACCTGACCTGTCTTTCAGTCCAGTCTCCTAGTCTTTACAGAAAACAAACACAGCTCATGGACTCATGGACTCATTGACGTTGTGCTTTTGGTATGGTCAACTTCAATAGCTTCAGTAAGATTCCAACTGACCTGAGCCTTTATATATACCTCAGTCGAGTTGTGTTTGGAGTTTTGGCATCATCAACTTCAGTCAAGAACGAGGTCAATTCCTGACCTGTATAGGGATCAGCGACTTCATCCCCATCATTCCCACATGCCACCTGCTAATTAATATATATATATATATATTCCCTAGCCTTCAGTTCGACCATTAAAAGAACGGTTGAGCCGGTGGTGTAGCGTAAAAACCCTTAGTATAACGATGGTTCTTTGGTGATTAAAGACCATTAGAACCATGGAATAGAACTACCATCTTCTTCTTAAAACACTTGGGGGTCTTAATACCATCCCTTCCAGTTGGAATCCTATAGGGTATACTCTTCATTTTTGGGGCTTCCACCCCCAAAACCTCACCTGACCCAGCCGACCCGACCCGGCCCCCGCCTGACGGTGGAGCTTCCGCAGCTCGTCCTTGAGGGATGCCACGCTCCACTTCCTGGGCCGCACCGGAGCACGTGAAGGTGCCAACCGTTCGGTGAAACCGTTCGTTGGGTCGTGCCAACCTGCAGCTGAGTTGGTGCACCGTAATTGAAGTGGATAATAGGTACAAGTACTAAACATATAGGTGCCAGGTCTGTCACGTCGTGCGTGCGACGTGCACCCCCAAAAATGACAGTCATGTTGTTTTGGATCTGATCAAGCGAGGTCACAAGATTGACATTTGTGGGCAATGATGTCCAATAGTACTTTCGGAAATCCAGTCACATGAGGTTTTGCAAATCCACTCCACCGACGACGCCGGTGTTCTTTCCAGGTCGCTCAGCATGAATTGAAACGTGTCCATCTGTCCCTGCTCCAAGCGAGAAGGATAGAAAACCCATGCTTAACATTTAGGTAAGTAGGCTTCGCTGGTGGCGTTTAGCGGGCATACGCAAGTCTATTAATGTATATACCATGTATCACTGCTTCTTCTGCTTTCGTGTGGGTGCCTTGCATTGGTACCACAGTTCGCGCCGAGCTTGCGCGCAGACAGCACCGATCGCGGCCCCAACAGCTCGTGGATTCCAAGACTCTGGAGCTGCTGCTCATCCACAAAGGTCTCCTTGGATGCGGGACGCTCCGCGTTGAACGCGCGCTCCGCGTGGAACGCTGGACGCGACCGTGTCTTGAGTCCTGAATGAGATGGGTATGGGTACTGAGGATGGGTAGGGTATGGTAGGTTTAGGCTACCCTACAATAGTGAATGAGGATGGATATGGGTACTACTCCTGAGAGAGTGACTCCCACCCGGTCTTCTGGGGAGTTGGACCTCGAGTAAGCTGCCAGCTTTCAGTTCGCACTTTTCGGGTGCCAAAACCTTCAAGCCGGTGACCCGGAAACCAACAATATGCCGACTCATTCTGTGCCCAAACAGGCTGACTGCTCAGTTCTGCCCCAGCACACCGGACACCTACCTCAGATCTCTTACTCAAACCCCGGAGGACGGGTTTTGGCTTACATTCTACACAAACCCTCATATTGGATTTGAGCCGGGAATCCTGATGAACATTTACTGTCACGTAAACTCTTGATGAATAACACACCCATAAACACCCGTATACAAAAGGCTTTACAGTTTTACAATCCAAATGGAGTGGTAGAAAAACCAAGAGATTATGTAAAGAGTCACTCTCTTCGTCTGCCTTCCACCTTTGAAGACACCCGTCGCCGGTCGCCGGTCTTCTCAAGGCGCTCTCTGAATCTTCTGCACCTCCTCGCTACTCACCTGACCACCGCTCGGTCCGATATGCAAGGAGATGGTCGTCGTCGTCGACACGACGAGATGGTCGTCTTCGTCTTTCTGTCGACGAGTGTTGGCCGACCATGTGTGAGGTAGTTAGTTGAACCAACAGGAGAGCATGTTTTGGTTGCAAGTCTGCCTGTCATTGTTTGCCTGTCATTGTCTGCCTTTCATGTTATGTGATTCACAGGCAAGTTAGGCAAACGTTTAGCATAGTTGGAAGATCCCAGGATGGGAACATCTGGGGAAGGCAGGACTTCGGTGTTCCCAGGGTCGCGATCGGCAGGACTTTGGTAGGTCCTTGGCCTCCAAACCGGAGGTCTCACCTCGAAAGTTGCCTGGGATCGGGATTGTCATGGTTATCTCATTGTGTGAAGTAGTCCAGATTTATGTAGAAGGCTCCTCATTTCAGGAATGGTTCTTTCCAAACTTGCAAATTCAAAACTTAGCTTAGACATCACACCACCTTGCTGATGAGTGACATTGCGTTTCCCCAATGTTTCCGAATAACGATAGAGTCCAACGGGAAAGCTCCTTTCTTTCTCGCCGGCGGCAGTTGACCAATACAAACTGAACAGTGACTCCACCTTGAAACATGTGGCGCCCCTTTAGCTTTCAGAAATGACAACATGACACAACTATAGCCAACTATGCTCTTCAGCCTTGGTCTTGCTCCAACCCGTGGAGGGGGGGCCCAAACACCGAAAGCCGCGGACCCCCCCACCCTTGCCCAGTCACGCGCTCACGTGTCCCTCGGTGGTTCTCTTGGCCCAGCAGATTCAGCATCCAAACTTCGATGCGCGCGGCGACGTCCTGGGCTGCGCGGACAGCTCGGGCGACGTGGGCGACGGCCGAGCATGGCACCCCCAAACCAGGCTTAGCTGGGTAGGTTGACCTCCCATAGGTCCATTGGTGGTCAGTTCGGCGTTGGCGTTGGGAGTCCAAGTCTGACTAGGTGACCCGAGTGATCCTCGAACTTCCTGAACAGTTCCATCGGTGACCGTCGAACGGAGTTGGGGTGCTTCTGGGAGGGGCCAGTCTACGCGGTCTACGGAGGTCAATGCATTCACATTATAGATGGCAATGCACTTCGGCGAGCATGTCACATGGAAAAGCCTAGCGTTTGCAAGGGACAGTTGCCTTCCAACAGACCAGTTTCGCCCTCCTGCTGTGTGTTCTTCTAGGGCCTGACATCCATGGGTTTCAGTGCCCAAACACTCCATGGGACTGCCAAATATGCCGATCAGTTGGGGTGGTTTGAGGGGTCAATGCTATAGGCATATATGGCAGTCCCATGGGTCGTGTCTGGGGTATGGGACCCTCGCAGGTTCCGAGGAGACGAGTGCGGGTCGTCTTGGATGACTAAGATTGACCAATCACATCCAATTGTTCCTTGATCACCTTGACAACCACAAATCCTCAAACCATAAAAAATTAGATGACCGGATAACCATAAACCATGACCTTGATCACCTTGATCACCTAAAATTGACCAATAATAACATCTAAACCGTGTCAACCCCAGTCCATGTGAGTCATTCCCATCAATTTCGATCGTATGGCTCACCTCCCCCATGGAACCAAAGTCGTTGTGCACACAGCCGCCACCCAAAAGAAATCAACACCAGGAGTCACATGTCGGGGTGGTTTCTAGTCCCCAAGTGAGTGGATGCTCTGGACACCCTATCACCTCCAAGTTCGGCGCCCCTTGGTGACTCCTGGCACACTGTTCAAAATAAGCAGCTAACAACCGACATCAACCAATGACCAACAACCCTTCAAAAGGGCTGCTTGGCATGGGCTGATGCGACGACCAAACCATGCAAGGTCCAGTACCTCTTGCGGCTACGATTGGGCCCCCACTTGTCTTTCCGAAAGAATCCTACAGGGCGCAACCATAGAGAAACATGTCTACCATGCAGTTCTACCAGACGGATTCTATGTCCTTATGCCTGCTGGAGCCGCAAGACTCCGCAAGTTTTGTCATTGCATGTTGCGGCCAGGGTTCCATCAGCACTTGATCAATTCTCTGTACTAGCCAGTGTTGTCGCAACGCGGGCCGCGCGCGCAAAAGGAACAGCCCTACTGCAAAGAGGAAGAGGGACAGCAGCATGGCTGCGCAAAAGGAGCCTCGCAGGAAAGAGGTTGATTTCACACTGTCACACCCTCAAGTAAGGAAGTGCAGTAGGACGATGCTCGGATCAACTAGTTATTGGTCTATTGTTCAGGGCTTCCCCCCCTTCGAAGTCATGCTGAACCTGCTTGGTGGGTGAGGAACTTAGGGTGCCCACACTGGTGAGGCATTCTGTCCCTGGGAAGCCATGTGCTGGTTGGTATTGGAAAAGGGAAGTCATGAGGCATGGAAAGGCTCAAAATGACTGCGAAGCTATGGGCGTAGCCGGCACCCCGTCCAACTACTTTGAAGTTATAAAGGCCTCAGTTGGGCACACAGCTGGGCCTATGCCCTCCCACTCCGTAGCAAACTCAATGATAGCCAGCTGTCACGTCCAAAGACCGCCGACGTGTGGCGGAGCTGGTGCGACTTAGTATGTCAGGGGTCCCTCATCTTGGCAGACTTCGCGCATGACCGATCGACCGACATTGAAAGGTCCAAAAAGCTATTTACAACACCACAACAACAAGAAGAAGAATAATAACAAGAACAAGAACAAGAACAACAACAACAACAAATTTCAGACCTATAACATGTATGACGAACCTATTAATTCAACCAAACCTATTGATCATTATTGACCCAATGAGGCTCTATACAATGGACTCTTCTCGAAATCGTGCACCGTGCTCCGCGTGCACCGCAAAACCATGGCGCCACGGCACCGCACGACGCATGTCACGTCCCCATGGGCTGCTTCGACCGTCCCATGCTCGTCAGAAAGCCGAACAAACGAAGGGCAGTGACTGTGGGTCCAACAGAGGTGGGTTAAGTGACCTGAACGAACGGACCCGGAAAACCAGGGGTACCGAACTAGGATAGTCGAACGTTCGGGTTCTTCAACCTCTGCTGGGTGTGCCAAGCTTCGAATCTAAAGAGATAGTAGGAGAGACCAATTGACAAAGAGTTGAGCACAAAGATGGAGGAGTTGGTCATCCTTTGTGCTGGTCATATCAGTCGGCTCTAAGATGGTCATCCTTTGTCATGCTTCGAATCTGATGCACCCCAGACGCTCTAAAGAGCCCTTGGTCCCTCCAAACCATAGGGATTTGAGACTCTCGACCCATCTAAGGGTCCGTGAGCGGGCAGATCGGCTTGCGACCGGCTTGCGACCGTGTGCAGGTTGACCAGTGCACAGCCCAGGTGACTCACCCCTTCTTGGTGGCTCTAAAACCCACACCAACTGTTTGGCCCTCGGACTCCCTGCGGCCCAGCGTAACCAAAGAAGCCGCCGCCGAAGTAGTCGCTCATGCCGAACAGGCCGCCGCCCAAAAAGCCGCCGCCCGTTCCGCCCGACGCACTGCCCCCGCGCCCGTGGCGCGCGTGGCGCTCGGAGCTGCGGTGCCGCCGTTGGCGCTCGAGGCGCAGGCGCTCCATGCGGTCAAGGCCATAACTGTGGAAGCCACGCTCCGCTTCGAGCTCGTCCTGAGAGGGGCCGAAAGCTTCGTGCTTCGGTGCTTCGAACAGAGTGCCGAAGCTGCTGACGAAGCAGCGCAAAGAACGCGGACATGAACGCGGAGAACGGCTGTGTTGCCTTCAATGGAGCGGAGGCGACCATGGTCGAATCCATGGAAGCGGTTGGGAAGATGATCATGTCTGGAAAGCAGCTCCAGTCTTGCTATCTTTTAGGATGGCACAACTCAAACATACGGAAACAAAAGCATCAGGATGCGGGTGGGTGGTCTTGGTGTCACTCCCTCAGTTTCCTGGCAATGTAAGTTGACCTTTAAACCTCTAATCTTAATCTCATGATTTCTGTACCTGTTCATGTTGAGTGGGGTTCATCCATATACCCCAAGTACCTGAAGGCGAACCTCCTCTACGTAAGCTTCACGCAAACCTTCGCAGGTCCATCGGTCACGTCTGTCCGAAGAATTCCCAATGTGACACTCCGGACCCGTCCGTGTCCGATTTCGGTGTCCCGCGGATTCGCGTGGGAGCTGAGTTTTTGGACAGCCCTTAACAACCACTAAGCGGCTATCTATAGACACCTCTTGGAAGGTCCTTGTAGGTATATCATGGATTATCATGGTATATCATATCCCATTGCCAGGGCCCGTGAAATGGATGATGGGGCCTGGTTGTCCGACATCCATCTCAAAAAGAAATGATCATCTTTGGCCGGTTGGCCACACCGGCCGCCTTTCGTTCGACCATTCAGCAACAAGTTGAACTGAACTGGTTTTGTGATCCAAAAACTCCCTGCACGAGCAATGGTTGTTTGGTAATTACGGTAAAGATATGTAAAAAATGGTTTACTCTCCTGCAGATTCACATCAGGCTGATTGGAGGAACAACGTCTCGGATCGTTGGATCGGGGGGTCAGTGACTCCTATCCGGTATTACGTATTACAAAGAACGCCACGAACGGGGCAACCCTGGCCTTACTGCGAACGGAGCGAAGACGGACGCGACTCGAACGGAGCACAGGGCAGCGCTACGAACGGAGCAAGAACGCTACGAACGGGGCTCCTGGCCTTACTACTAGGAACAAGAAGCCTGGCTACGAACGACGAACGGAGCACAGGGCAGCGCTACTAGGAACCAGAAGCCTGGCTACGAACGGAGCGATCGGACGAACCCGAACGGGGCATATGGTAGGACGCTACGAACGGACACTAAGCCCCTAACCGGCCAGTGCTCTCCAGTCACCAGAATGGACTACCCTGCACCATATCCCTGTTCTCAGATCGGCTGATGTGAGTAGCAAATCCGTGGTAGACCAAACGGGCTAAAAGGTACAAGATGACCCAACTTAGGTACTTTTGGATGGCAAACTAACATGCGAGAACAAATAGCGGCGTCCGGAAGCTTCGCCCGCCTCAAAAACTGCGCGATTCCCATATGTACGTTCGCACCCTTGAATACCACTGCCCGTGCCACCCGTGTGGGCGTTGCCAAGCTTCGAAGTAGCTCATCTCACCTGTGAACTCGTCGGTCCCCCAGCGTTGGATGAGCATGGAGGCTAAGAACATGGCACCGCTCAGGGCGAGGGCCCGTGGACCGCCTCCAATGTACACGAAGAAGACCTGGGTGGTTAGTGGTAGGCTGGGAGTCGCGGAATGGGCGGTAGGATGGCGGGGCAGTAGTCGCCGTAGTCGGTGAAAAAGAGCAGAAAACAAACCACTCCAAACACTCCATGGGACTGGCAGATTTATACTACATTGGAGTGGTTGAAAAGGGGTCAATACATTGGAGTGGTTGAAAAGGGGTCAATGTATGTAAATATGCCATACATGGAGTGTCTGGGACTTCTGACCCTCTCGAAACCAATGTGATTCTTTCATCTGGTCAGCTGACCTGCCCAGTCCCCACCCAGCCTACGACTGCGTCAAGCAAAGGGATTCTTCGGTTCTTGGAAGTGCCACGGGATGCCCAGTTCGCATGCCCCTTGGGGGTCGCTACGTCCTCGCTGAACTTCAGCGGAACCAATAACTCCTCATCAGGTGCATGTTGGAACCACTTCCCCTGCTTGGTGGTTGAAGCTCTTTGAATCAGGAGCGCGCCCCAAACTGGCCCAAACCCACCATAAGAAAACCTCCCACTTCTTAGCACCCAAGCTGCCATGGCGGTGCTGATCTCTTCCGCTCCCCCCGCGGATCTGCCGTGGGCACTGCGGGGTGGCCACGCCCCCGGCGATCGCGGGTGCCCCGCGCGGTCGCTGAAGGGTCGAGCGAGGTCGGAGCGGCCGATTTGCGTGGGAGAATCATCTGGAGAATCCCCCATGCCCTGGGGCCCTGGGGCTCCAAGTACCTCCTCAGAAGGTATGACTGGACCCTCTAAATCCCAGGTACTTGGAGCCAGGGAGGGGTGACCACTGGGCTGACCCGACGGGGGGAAGCCTAGTCACTTCAGCCTGGCCAGCTTAGGCCTGTCGCTCAGACTGCGTGGTTGGTCACTGGGAAGCCTGACAGTTTTGGGGCTTAAAGTATATACCCCCCCACTCTGCCCCAAACGACTATCCACCCAATCGCTGTGCTGAAAGAGTTCCCACGGCAAAGAACCTGTATAGTGGCAGAGATGGTGGGCACAAAACCATTTCGAACACTTTAGAGGGGCACAACCCCCAAGAGATGGTTGGACGGTTGGACCCCCATGTAAATTAGACATCAACCAAAAAAGGGTAGAGAACCTGAGGACAGTGGCCTGGTAAGTGGACATGGGCTTTCCAATTGACTATTTTCAGCTTCAACTTGGAATCCAAGCTTTAGATTGCTAGAAGGAACTGGGAAAGAACACAAACAACACACGAACCTTTCCCGGTTCTGGGGTTTCACCCCCGTTTCGTGTTTCATTCAAAGCAAACGCAGGCTTTTAAAGCATTGGCTTCATGGTCTGACTAGAGTGATCAGGACTGTCCGTCACGAAACGGTGCCCAACATCGAGGCCCTAGGCGTGGACGTTCAGTTCCAACTGCCACAACCACCGACGTCGGGGCTTTCATTGATCGAACTGCGTCGGGGTGCGTCAGGCGGAACGCCCTGTGGCCCGCACTGCGACGCCGTGAGGCCCACGCCGAGCATGTCACAAACAGGCGCCCCCCTGTGGGGCCCAGCCGATCCGTGTCTTTAGGAGCCGCGAGCCGGTGATAGATTCGAATCTGATGATGGACCCTGTCGATCTAAACACATCCACAGGCTACTAACAAATACTCACACACTCCCCAATTGGACCTGCCCATCTAGGGTGGAAAGTTGTTATCCATAGCAAAGCCTTCAGAGGCTCTAAGAATCTCTTAATTTTGAGTCCCAACATCTCCACATGCAGCCTCCACCTGGCAAATCATCCGGGGAATGTGTCGCTCATCCGGTTCTTCGTCACAACATGTCACCAGTGATGGGAGACCCCAGTTCTAAACCCCACTTCTACGCCAATCCTCGGTCCAGCAATCCTTTCGTTTTCTCTTCCCCTCGATTCGTCTCGCTTCTACGCACTTCCTGCTGTGGTGCCTGCCCCGTCCCCTTTGGCACGGGCGGCCTCTCGCTGAACCGGCCGAGCGGCGCGGCTTTTCCTCTCGCGGCACCGGCAACTGCGGCCACTGCGGGCTTCGTTTGAAGCGCAGGAAACGCCGCAGCTGATGTCCGCGGAAATGCGGGTCTTTTCCAGGTGGCAAGGCAACAAATCATCAGTTAGCTGGACCTTCCGGAGGTGTCAAACAGCCTCTGTCTGAGGTGAATTTTAAGGGGTGTCCAAAAAACACCTGTTGGAACGTCCTGGTATATGACCATGAAAATGTCTTACACCAAGCCGGATCTCTGAATTATAGTTGTCCCTTACGTATTCACCACCCAATCCCCGTGGGTCCTGGTGCAGGTGAACCAACTGTCTACATGGCCAGCGGCCGGATCGTCGCATGAGAAAGAGGTGTTTTCTTGATCATGGATTCATTGGTTTGTGGTTCAAGGGTAGGCTGGCCAACCTCGCCAAGCATTGCTCATTTCCTGGCTCACATAACATCCGGCACGTACTCCAAACAACTATGCACCTTCAGTCCTAAGCCAAAACAGGAACATCCTTTAGCAGTACAACTCTCTGCGTTTTCACCGGCCCCTTCGCCGACTCGCCCTGCCACCTGGAACTCACTAACGTTTTTCTACAGCGCCAGCGACTGGCAACTTCAACAGATTCAAAGGGGTGGCTCCCCGCATCTCCCCCGGATCTCCGCCGACCGACCGACTCGTAAGCACTTCTGATCACCAATGGCGCCATAAAGGCTATAAGGACATATAACTACTCCCCCACCAACTCACGAACCTGAGACTTGACCCGTGGTTTCCACGATTTTTTCCGAATCCCAACCGCCAGTCGTTTGGGGGTTCCATGGACCTGACGGCCGACCTGGGGGGCCGAACGGTACGACCGACTCGTCACACCCAGTGTCTGACTCCGTCCAGAGACCGTACCGGAGGTACACATCGGTTGGGTCGATTCTATCACCAACAAGGTACACAGGACAGACCCAAATAGGAAGTACAATGTATACCTTTACATGGGTAAACCACCAGCATGGAGCAACATCATCTTGTCCACAGGAAACCTAATGGATAAACTTCTCCTCCCTGGACCTTCTGGGCATCCCTACCCTCCCTGACGAACCCCGTCCGGTTAGAAAACGCATGAAATCGCCATCGGATCATTATGGGATCGGACGGCGATGCTTTGCGGAACATTCCTACTCCTGCTACTGTCTCCTACTCCTACCAGCACCCTCCAACAGGCTGTTAGTTGAGGGTTGTTGGACCCTAATAGGTCTCAATTGGTGACCTGTCGGAGGGTCCTGGTATATTACAAGAATCTTAGAACCACATTCTGAGAGTATCCAAAATAGGTACTTGTTGCATCTTGTTGCTGCTTTTGCAGCTGACATCTGCTCGGCCATTGGCTCGAACCTGGGGGGCGTTCCCGAGAGCCTTCACGCAGCCCAATACCGCGATGACCAGCAAATACGCTGGGCGCGCGGGGAGATCTTCTCGCGCGCTCGAGAAGCGCCGTTCGACTCAGCTGTTCCTCAGCGCGCGGGGCGTTTAGGCCAGCTCGCGGCTCGCGTCTTCATGGCCCGGTGGTCCGGTTTCCGGCTTCGAGCCCAGTCCAAAAAGCGGGTGAAGGGAGGTCCCCCACCCACTTGGCCACGATCGCATGCTGTTTGGATCGATGCCAAGAAAGCCAACTCTTCAGTCATGAGTCATGTGGGATCCAAAGAGCATCAGTCATGTGGGAGCATCCTATACCAGTATAGGAGGGTCCAATGATGGTTAGGGTATAAGAAATGTGACCTCTGTGCAACATGTTTCAACCACCGCAAGGTTATGTATACCAGCAGTCCAGTCCCAAACGTTCCTTCTGGGTTTGAAGAGCATGAATCACCTTCAACCTCTGGACTCTCACACATCTTCCAAGTCTCTACAAGAGTCCAGTGACACGGTGTCCAATGCATTTAGGTGGTGGGGAGTGGGGATCTACTTTTCTATCCTTTTGGGGGTCTATGGTCTATGTGCAACACATTCCCACGTTCTCCCATCCCAGTTCTCTGCCAAGCCACGTGGACTTCTTCACCATCCGCCCCTCCACCTTGGGTGCCACACAGTGGCCATGCTGAGCCGCCACCTCCACGGCACTATAGATCGCCAAGACCAAGGGGATGGCGTCGTTCGTGGTGACCATGTCGAAGAGCCGATGCTTTTGCCAGCCCTTCGTCGTTCGGATCGCGGCGCGGCGCCCGCGGCCGCGGCGCGAGAGGGCAGGGCCGGTAGAGGCTGCGAGCGGTGCGAGGCGAGAGGCCGGGGAGGCATTGGAAGGGTGTGTTTGGCTATAATAGGGTCGGTGTGGATCCAGTGTTTTGGGGTTTATGGAAGGGGTTGAGTTCCACGAGCAAAGTTGAATTGGCGCAAGGGAAATTCCAAAAGCAAATGAAACTAGCAAGTGATGTGTCGAAGTTGAATTGGATTGCTCAAGCCGGTTCAAAATGGGCACAGCAACCGTTGGAGTAATTTATCTGCAACAAATAGTTGCCTCATGTTGCTTCTTCTTTTGCCCAGTTTTCCTACAAGCAATTGAATTGAAAGACTTCCAATTAGTAACTATACCTCAGTGAACTTGGTGCTTTGCACCATACAAAACAGTTGCTGGGTGCTCATGACCAATAGGACCAATAGGAATTTGAATTTGAAAGGATCATCCATCCCAAACACTCCATGGGACTGCCATATATGCTTACATTTCACCCCTGGCCTGATCGGCAGTCCTATGGCAGTCCCATTAGTCGTGTCTGGGCATGATCATCCCAAGCATCCCAACCGTTCGGTCCCTCCGCCCATCCCCGTTCGGTCCCTCCGCCCCGACCGCCGCGTGGCATGCCCGGCTGCGGTCTCTCTACCCGAGACGCCGAGGTCGAGAACGCGTAGTCCGTCATGGCCACGGTCAAGGTCCCATCCGGAAGCAGCGCCGTGCCGTTGCGCCACGCGAGGTGCGTGACGCGGTGGCCGCTGGGCATGGAAGGGTCGAAGTGGAAGCTCACACCTGGAGGACAAAAGGTGGATTCTTGGTGACCTGGAAATACAACCCGAACTAGACTATCCCATAGGCCTGGTAGGGTCCTATAAGGTCACTTAACCTCGGTTACTGGGGTACCGAATTAGGATAGTCGAAGACAGTGGAGGAGATCGCAACATATTCAGCAGCTGCTACTGAACTGGACCCGACACAGTGGCTAGGCTACAGGGTGCCACAGTGTGGCTGCACCTCGATGGTTTCTATCAGAAGAAGTGGGAAAAACAAAGGAAACTCATGGTCTAACCCATACACTCCATGTATGGCATATATATATGCCTACATTGACCCCCCTGGCACCACCCCTGGCCTGATCGGCAGTCCTATGGCAGTCCCATGGAACCTCATGGTCTAAGAAAACCACCCAAACAAAGGATGCTTCATTCTTGATGATCCGACACGAAGGCCGTGTCTTCGTACGTTGAACCGACGTGGGAGGAAGAGAAACATCGACGGTAGAGGAAGGAAAGCATCGTTTTCACCGGGTCGATGATCAACGGTAGAGGAAGTACCCCAAGACTTCGGAAGAGAGCAATGGATGTTCTCCACATGTTAGCTGGGTGGGAAAGCTGTGTTATAAGATGAGCAGCCAAGATATATGAACTCTTTGGGCGAAAACGTTAGCTGCTAGCTTGCTTGGCCTGAACCTTATACCACAGGGGGTTGCATCATGTTTTCCCGCGCCCATGCATGTCGCGCCCAAAGAAACCGCCTGCCACGTTCACGAAGCGCCCGCACACTTTGGAGTAACATCCTGGGGTTCGACGGCTTTGTGGTTGGAGTCTGGCTCGCCAAAACGGTTTCCAATTCGTCCCCCCTTTCCCTTAAAACAAGTGACCATCCAGTAGGAGTGCAATGATGCCATGGAAGAACATCAATGTCACAACAAATTGAGAGCCCGACCAGTCCAAAGGTTTCCAACACCCATGACACGACCCATGGGACTGGCATATATGCCGCCCCATTGACCCCCCTGGCACCACCCCTGGCCTGATCGGCAGTCCGACATGGCAGTCCCAGAGAGGTCAAAGGTTTCCAACAGGGTTTTGAGACCCAGTTCTCCACAAGAATCACCGTGGAAGTGGCGGAGACCTTCGCTGGGAAAGGTGGGATCCTCATACACGAACAGCTCAACCCCTCTTCACCTTTCTGCGGTATCCCAGTTTCAACCAGAAGCAGTTCTGGATGTTCCAATCTGGCGCCAGCTTGAGAGCTCTTTGCATTTAGCAAGTGGGACTGGGGACTTCCATCTCAATTTCTGGTTTCTCGCGCTCAGACCAGGCTGCCTGTGCTAACCCTATAGGATTTGTGGCCCACCATGGACTTAAATAGTCTGAATCCCGAACAATCGGTGCTTTATTTAAGGATTCCAAAACAATTACATCTTGACCAGGTCTTCGGAGCTTCACCCAGAGAAAACAACATGAAAACCACTAAACAACTTAAAGGAACTTAGGTAACCCCAGGTCGTTTTCAACCACAAACACCTGCTGCCAAAGCATCCCAGCATGTCATCGATGTACGTCCTGGCCGTCGTCCATAGTCGTCTGGAGGTCCGGAGGTCTTGCGGTGAAAAGCGACAAAAAGTGCAGACCGTGACCTGGGTTTGGGTAGTACGAACTCAATGAGTTTAAACTACGGTTCCTTGGTTAAAGCCTATATAATCTGTATACCCTGGGAGTCAAAGACCATTAAAACAATGGTTGACCTGGTTTTTGTATTGTAAAATCCTTAGTTGATTGGGTAAAGCCTATTAAATTAATGGTTGTTGGAAGCCTAGGGTATATATCTGTATTCAATGGAAATCTGGTCGGCCTTGAGTGGTTAAATCGTTACGCTGAAACCAATGGTTGTGTAGGATTCAGGTTATATCAATGGTGAGCCGTCATGATAGGGATCCTGTGACCATTGAGAGCTTCCCCCGGATCCCGACCCCCAAACACCGGCGCGTCGCCTCGCCCCCGGCACTCCGGCACTCCGGCGCGTCGGCGCGTGGTCCTCAACTCGCGTCCGGTGACCCAGAGCTTCACGATGGAATTCCCAAAGGGATGCAACTCCTCGGCGTCGAGCCACGAACCCAACGAAGCGGGCGCCCGTTCGTGGAGGCACCGTGCCCCAACGAACGAAGGAGGAGTGGACCGGCGGAGGAGTGGACAGGCGGATGAGTTGGAAGAGGCGCGGGTGTTCGTTTTCGGAGAGGCTGAGAAGTTGAAGCGATGTACTTTGAAGGGTAATTATATACAAATTCAAGGTAATTCAAGTTGAAATGGAGGAAATTTCCCGGATTCCAGTGCCCTAAAGTAAGTCCTTTTCTGTTCCATTGCTCCTTGACTTCCGACCCATTGTGCGTCAGATGCGGCAGGGCGAGGCCCTGCTACCTGCTACGCACTTCCACCCTGGCCTCTGCAAGCACTCCCTGTTGGGGAAGCTACCAGGGGCATGTTGCACCGATAACTGTGCCGCCAGTGCCTCCTCCCTCACCCCACCCTCAGGCTCCATGGGGTTCTATTCAGTGACATGTTTATGGCATATATCGTGCAGGTCAAGCAAAATCTTTGAATGATCCAACGGAAGGCTAGGGAACACCAAACCAATACCTTTCCATCCATCACCTCCAACGCCAAACCACGCCCAAACCATCGCGTTCACGCCCGGCTTGCCAGCCGTGCACACGGCCGAGCATCGGTCAGGACCTTCTTCGACAAATTCCCGGCCGGAAAGACCTGAGGACGAACCGTCTCCGCGGATCTGCGGCGCATAGAACCGGGCGCACGGATGTCTATGGGGTGGTTGGGGTTCGAAGTGGTTCAGCGAAAAAATCCGGTGAATAGAACCGGTGTGGTTTGCCAACAACAATCCATCATGGACGGTCTGGCCATGTCTTTCCTATGTTTATGAAAATATGTTCGTTTCAAGTGTTCTATAATATCCATCCCGTGGAAAACATTTTCCTGGTTTTTCTCCAGTTACCTGTTGTATATGAACGGCTTTCAAGCCAACACCAACCATGCTATAGGTCCTGAGAAGGTGATCCCACCATGTACAAGTCTTCCCCTGCCTGGCTTGCAAAACAATACACAACACGCAGTTTATAGAAAGAGCGTGGCTTTCGTCTTACAAAAGGCTGCCATCATGCGCGCCATCCATCGTGACAGCGCCATTTTCAAGTGGCCCCCCGAAACCTCTGCCTACGACCAAACAATCCATCCAGCTTCTTCCAACTAACCTTTTTGGAGTCCGGACCTTACCTTTTAGAGGCCCTTCCGTGACGTCGAGCCTCAAACTGGGATATCAAGTTCGGTCACTTTGAAGAACCAGGATTTTTTTCAATAACTTCCAACAAAGGTTGACCCGAACTGTAACTAGACTATACCAGTTCGGTACCCCAGTAAATGTCCTATTTACGGTCACTGTCCACCTCTCCTTTGGCCCTTCGCACCGGTCGCATCAAAACGCGTCCGGCTCCGATCGCACGCGTCGACCGGTTCGCCTTGTTACCACGGATGGTTCCCCCAGCGATGAGCACCACATCGGTCCTGAGGGGGAGGAATGGACTGCCTGAGACGGGTGCCGTGGGGATCGGTTTTGGGGGTTCCGGGGACTAAGGAGTCTGCTGTCTAGTACAGCTTCGCAGGTTTGGAAGCAGTTCGGAGGACAAGTGCACTGCTTAAGTCATATTGATGTCGCATGGTTTTTTCTGAGCTGGTAATTCTGGAGCTGCGGCGGAAGAATCACTCAAAGGAAACCTCCCGCTTTTGGTCACCGGCCTAGCCTCAGGTTTAGCTACCGAGAATGGAGGTTGGGTTCAAAGTGCTCACGGTCTTTGGAGGTGAGCCAAAGGTTACCATGGTCCTGGACCTATAGACCTTATTGTGGCAAAACTAAAACCCCCATATCACATCAGATGTGAAGCTATAGTTACAGCACTCCGCTGCAGATGAACATGGAACCCCGTTCACCACACCACGTCAGGTTGGTATTTGGAGAATGGTCGAAACCCACCGGTCAATTCGACCCGGTTCCATGTCAGTTTGCCGGAGAGGAATGGCACAAGTGGGGCGTCAGATCGTTGGCGTTTGGTGCGGCTAAGGCTTCCCCCTGACCATAGGCACGTACGCCGTGGCGAGGTTGCACTGGCACCCCGGTGCAAATGACAACAAGATGGGGATCTCATGAGGTCCAACCACCTTCACTTGGGGTAAACTGGTATATAGATACACTCTCAATCCACTAGAAACCACTGACCCAGCTGGGCAGTTGTTTTTCACTCTTCGAATCCGTGGCCCCCCATCCGCGCATCGAACTGGCCATCTTCGAAGCGAGGATCGAAGCAATCCTGCTTGCAAAAGGAGGTATGAGCAATGGACTGTCCTCCATTTCTGGGGGACGTGGGGGTGGGCTACAACATGTCAATAGATCAGTAGAATAATTTGTTTTATGTGCCAAACTCCGTGGGAAATCGTGTCCCAAATGATCCAAACTCTTCTTTTAAAAGTTCTCTGCTATTCTCTGCTCCATCTCAGCCGTCAAACAGCCGGCTCCTCCCACCCCACCGTTGGTTGATTTCCAGTGCCCGGTTTCTTGTGCATCGCTTGGACGGCATCCGCAATGAAGTTCCCCACGCCCGTCCTGAGCGCCGGGGGTAGCAGCACACCCGCCAAACGCACACTCAGACTGGTGCAGAGGTCGGGAAGAGGTCGGAGATCCGGAAGACCACCGAACATGGAGAACATCTCTTTCTATATGTCCCAGAGGCGACCGCCATCTGGGACTGCCATGTCGGACTGCCGAGTTTCACGGCCTACCGGGGTGGTGCCAGAGGGGTCAATGTAGGCATATATGTCATACATGGAGTGTATGGGTTTGCTAAAGGTTTGTATACATCCGGTGGTACAGGCCGCATGTTGAATAGACGGTCAGACTTCAAGTGGGTATTGCATACCTTTGCTTGGATGAATCCATACCCACTTTTAGAGGATCATCCAAATTCACGGACCATCACACCTGCGGTATGCAAACAACTCAGGATACTTTAGGATCTTTGGATCATACAAACACATCGCCCACACAAACCCTCCAAAAAGAACCTGGATTCATCCTCTCCTCTGTTTGCTCTTCAACGAACCAAGCACCGCCGGTCTACCAACCTCCGCCTCCGTGGCGCTTCCGAGCATCTCCTGCTGACGGACCTGGCTCTCGCGCGTGTCCAGGGGCACCGTGCTGCAGCCGATGCGCTTGCCTCGGTCAAGCTTCGGCAGCAAAGCGCTGAAGGCACACGAAGGATGAGGGGCAAAGTATGGCAGGATATCTGGGTATCAACTTGGAGCTGGGCTGGTGAGCTGGGGATCTTGGGTGTCAATGCTATGTGGTCCATGGCGTTTCCAGGGCAGCTCTAAGACTATGGCATATATGGAAAGGGCAGGGTGCCTTCCACACATGCAGGAACACATGAACACAAAAACATTCCCCAAAAATGCTCCATGTAGGAAAACCATGGCAAACATCAGCCAGACTCACCACTTGTCGACCACGAAAACTCATGATCGACCACGAAGGCGCAGCGTTTCCCGAGTTGACTCTTGGCGAATCCTGAAGCCGACGACCACGGAGTGGGAGGATTTCTTCTCCGCAATGCCTTTGATGTAAAACAACTTAGATTCCAAAAGTTCCAACCACCAAACGGCTCTTGGAAAGGGTTTGCCCTCTTGAATCCCTCATGCGCAGCAACACCCACTACTCCCAGCCCAGTCACCCAGCTCTGCTTGTCCTCGCTCCTCCCATTGCACCACCTTGTCCTTGGCTGAACCAGCTTTTTTGGCAGGAAAGCCGATGGTTTTGCCGAAGTATGTTGCACACATGTCATGTTCTATGTTGTTGTCATCCTCAAGCCATTATTAAATAGAACATGGAACACCTTGAACAAACAACCAAACTTCTTCTTGGAGACTCCCAGACTCTGTCATACTCTGTCTACTGGAACGCATGGAGAAAAACGCACCCGGAACGCGCCTGCTGCTTTCCCCGAACTCTCAAGCACTTGCAGGATGTCTTCATTCAACAGCAGGATACGCTAATTTGATACCCATACACTCCATGTGCATATATGCCTACATTGACCCCCCAAACCAACCCAATGTAGGCATATATGGCATACATGGAGCGTCTGGGATATAATCCTCCGGCACACTTTGGGCTTCTGAATGTCGCTTGCCTCACAGGAACTGTCTTTTGTTCAACGCTCGTGGAGGGCAAGAACCAGAAGGATCAGCATTTAAATCACGTACACTGGCAGCAACGTAGATTCTACTATAGCAACTCAAGTTCTCCATAGATCCCTTGCTAAGGACCTTAACTTGTTCGAATCACACATTTCATATGCCACTTTGTGCCTCCCTTGGCCTTGGTAACGTGCCCTACTCAAAGGTGTATACATCCAACGGAGACAAAAGCCTATAGTTGATTGAAACGGCCCGAGCCCGAAGGGCCCGGCTCCAACTCGCCCACAGGGAGATCCACCGGATCTCTATGTTAATTAAGGCGAATCTCGAATGCAGGAATCCGGGAATGGTAATTGGTTATATGTCTAACATGTTTTACAGTACATATTCATGAACATCCATGTTTTCACATCCAAAGCCACCTGAAGGTTCTCGAAGCCTCATGCATGTGTCTCGCGCCGAGCCTCATGAACCGAAGGCGAGAAGGGATCCTGATCCGTCAAGGAGAGCAGCTTCCCCTCGATGGACCTGGACCAAGAAGTCGGACGAAGAAGTCGGTGGTGTGCTGACCACCCGTGTTCACACGGGACCCGGGTGCTGACCCTGACGTCCGCTTCTCCCTGGAAGTCCGTTTGACCATGTTAAAAGTGGGAACGATCTGATTTTGTACTGTAAAACCCCTAGTGAAACAATGGTTCTTCGGTAAAGGCCATTAACACAATGGTGGTTCGACTTCTAGGATTCTGCTAACCAAAAGCAACCGGAAGTCCACATGATCTAGAGTAATCACACACTCCGTTCGACCTAACCCAATGTTACACAAGTCCTGTTCGTCATTTGTGCTCTCCCCCAGCCCTCGCAGTTCGACCCCCGCATGACCGTCTCCCCCGTCTCCCATCCACCAAGAGACTCGCTGAAGCCTTCGTCGTCCAGCATCATGGTCATGACCCACTGGGTCTTCAGGTCGGAGTCCGCCTGCCGCAAGCGCTCCGAACCATCGCTTTCACGTAGCGGACCGGACGTGGCGGAGCTGGGCAGCCGGACCGTCCGGTCTGTCTGCAGGAGCAGCGTCATCTTGCAAAGATCGAATCCATGCAATGCTGCGATGAGTCGTGCTCAGTGCTCATAGCCGAAACTCCATTGGGGAAAATCCACCTTTCAAAACACCTCCTCATTAATGGATTCTATCAAACCAAAAGGGGGTATGGGCCATGATTGCACATATTAACCAGCCACTTAGGGGGGGTTCTCTAGGGTGAACATAAAGATTCCAACACCATGAAGTGATTGGACATAGTCATCTGAGGTACTCAATAATTCACAACGTCATGATCATCAAGCATTATGAGTATTGCACTGATCCAACAATTCATACAATACGCCCAGTTCTGCCTCAACAAGTAGTGATTCCTATCTAAGCGATCTAAGCCTCTTTTTTATTCTCCACAAACAGTGACTTAACCACTCCCAAAGTAAACGATTGATGGGGAATGAGTCAAGGGTGAACCAACAAATGCTACAATGTACAGAACATGGCCTCAACGCTCCAAGACTCCAAGACGGCCCCGGCCGTGTTTTCCATCAGCTTCACCGGGCTTCACCTGCTCCCCATCAGCTTCAACACACCCCGAACCCTGGCGCCCGAGGATTCACCACCTCGTCCCACCCCCGAAACACCCTTCACCTCTTCCTCGCGCGAGGGAGCGCGGGAGGCGTCGCACACCGGTTCGGCCTTTAAGTAGGTGGCGTGCCCACAGTCACTGCGCAAGTCCGTGAAGTGGTCATGACCTGTGACCGGTCAGACGAGACCCCGTGGGGGAGACCGAAGAAGCGCCCGTGGATGACGAAGCGCAGTCCAGCAAACGAGAGCAGTCCAGCAAACCCATGCAAACCCATGGTTTCGGCGGGTCAGGTGAAATTTGTCCCCTAATGTTTGATCTTATCCCAGAAAATGCGTGTTTAACATGAAGCATCCGAGCATTGGAAGGACTGCTGCTGCGTGGCGATGAACCTCTCTGTGCTCAAATATTTGCATGGAGGCGAGGTGTGAGCTACAATCACATCAGGCGTTTGACCAGCAGCCATCTTGGATCAGGTTCATTCCAAATGTTTGAGCAACAACAGATTTAACGTTGTTCTCCAACATTCTCCACTGCAAAAGGGGCTTGTAACAATTGCCTAGACCCTCGTCAGGTCTTATCATGCTGTGTTGGCCCCTGTTTGTCACGTTGAACGCTGAACGAAAAAGAGCGTCTTCACGACCCAAACTCAGCCTATCTGCCAAACAGACCCCTGCAGGCCCTTGCAGTTGCGCACTCCACGAGTTCCTTCCGTCTTTGACACTGCCAACCTCACCAAACAAACTCGTGCAATAACCCAACCAAACTCATGCTTCAGGTCCACATGATGGTATTGTTTTCCCAGGCAGGTTACTCTGTGTTCTCCTATAACTCTATTAAAAGAAAAAAACAAACTTCCTCCAATAGACACCGCGCCATCGACACTCGACACCACCGGACCGGCATCGCGTCCGCGCCGCCAGATCTGGGCCGCCCAAACCTCCCAGGATCAGATCGAGATCTTTCCCCGCAGCCTTCGCCAAAGCGCAGTCGTCCTGAGGTGAGGACCCGAGGACCCCATGCCAGTGGAGCTAAGTCTGTCCACTGTCCTTTGAGAACAGTGGATTACACACGCAGTGTGGAAGTGAGAGTGGGTTTCTGTAGCCCGGCTTATTGGTTATATAACTGTACCCCACGGCTCAACACAAAAGCCCAGGCAGCCAAGCGTTCAGAAAGCTCTACCTTTGAACGAAGCAAAGAAACGCGAATCTCTCCAAAAACACACCAAACTTCACCAAACGACTTCTTCCAGCACAGAAAGGTTCTGGACCGGGTTATGGGTAAAAAATCGAAAGCTGCATCGTCAGGGGGTGTCCGACCTCTGCTGCTTTCCAGTGACACCTCCTCTCAGCATTCTCCGGCCCCATCCCCCCCCACCGTCGTCGTCCCCATCCACCGAGCGATTTCGGACCTCGAATCCCGCGGCGCCTTGGCGAACTGATGCGTGAGCGCCAAGACCACCGAGCCTTGGCGGGGAGAGTCCTGGTCGGGACCCACCGGTTTGGGATGAGGATGGATGAGGCGCTTACGGAGAGGAAGTGGAAAACAAATGAAAACAGGTGAAAAGGGACTCATGTTTATGGAGGATTGAAGGTTTCTTGAGGTGGAGAGGACGTGGAAGCCGTGAGACTCCTCAGCTGTGGATGAAATCCACACCTCTCAACCCTGAGTCGACACTCAAAACTCTTAAGTACATCAAAAGTACATCAATTCGTTTCAATGGGTCAACTTCCCGGTTCCCAAGCAGTTTCAAACATGTCACATCAACACAATGCCAACTACTGCAGGCTTGCAGGACCACTGTACAAATGCAAACTGTTTCACAATCCACTCCCAAACAGCATCCTGCAGCACCCTCTCCGCTCCGCTCCGAGAAAGAAACACCAAAAACCAACGAAACTCGAGCGCCCCATGAACCCGAAACACCCCTCCCGATGGACTCCGACCGCCCGAAGCACGACCGAGCGGCACTGGTGCGTCTTCCGCAGCTCGCGCGCCTCCTGGACTGCGGCCTCGGTCGCGGAGGACGGGATGGAGAGGTGAGATTGTCTGGATGATGTTCTTGAATGTCTCGAAAATGGAAGTGGAAAAGGGTGTTCTTGAATGTCTCAACTCTCAAGGATGTTTGAGGGAGTCATGGAAAAGCTCATGGATCTAGAGACAGGCGTAGCAGCTACTTCCTGGGCTGGCGAATGCCATGAACGTTCGTAGCCATGGTGGAAAAAAACACATGAAAAACCATTGGATTCAATGTTCCATGTGAATGACCAGTGCGCTGGGTGTGTTTGGGAACGTGTTCCTGCACAGCACATGTCCATTTTGTCGTGAGATTGATCATAAGTCCTTGCATGTTAGCCTCGATCATGATCCTTTAGAAAAACCTGACTGAGGGGTGTTCAGTGGTTGGCTTGAGCAGGTCAAGACAGCTATACAACCTACACAATTCTAAACAACAACCCTTCGTTCATTGGTCAAATGGACATCCTCCCAAAAGAACCCTCGCTCGCTCGCGCCCCAGCGCTTTGCGCCTATGACATCAGTGAGCGACGTGCATCAACGGACCTCACCAAACACGCCCCACGTCCCACGTCGGCTCGCTCGTCACATGCCTCCTGAGCATCTTTGTACCTCAGGCGCTCCTGGCGCCGTTCCCGCCTCTTGCACCACATGTGCGCGTAGATGTTTTATTTAAGTAGCCCAATTGCCAAACACTGGGTGGTGTTTGGGGCTCATTGTTGGCACATAATTACTCTTCCATACGGAGGTTGTTTATCTTTTTTTTTTTTTTTGTATGACGCTTCGCCAAAAAGTTGTTACAGTTCTTTTTTTTAAATAGAAAGTTGCCAGACTGAATGAATGCCATGCCATGTAATGCCCCGATTTTCTCAAACAGAGTGCTTCTTGATTTGTTGGGACAACAATATCAGTTTACCATACTCCGTGGGCAGTCATGCTGTGAAACTTCTCTGAGCACAACTCCAAAAAGTAAAACCTTTGACAAACTCTGTTAAGCCACTAATATCCGACGAGAAGTATACCAAGTGTGATGCTTTGCAAAGTCTCTCATGTTTTCCCCAAGCCTTAACCTACAACCCAGCCGAGAATTAACGAAAGTGCATTGCAACGGTTTCTCCATGCCTCCCCATGGACTGTGGTGAACCAATGTGGACCCCCCCCCCCAAGAGAAACCATTGCGAGAAGCCATTGCTTCAAAGGCGGCATTCATCCCCAGCTCAAACTTCTCGAGGTCGGGTAACCCAGGTGGATTCCCACCCAACACCAGGAGCAGCCTCCGGCGGACGAGCCCGGGCGCCCGGGTCAGACCTTGTCTTTATAGAGCGTCTGCAAGAGGTCGTAGGCCACTCCGAAGAGACAGAGCCGCGTGGTCTTGGTGTTGGGCTCCTAAAGTCGAAGGTCGTCGGAGGCGGTGCATCCGGAGATGAAACAGCTAAGGCTTCGGGAGACCACGACCTGGTGAGGCAACGAAGCTTTGGGGGTTCGGTTTGACTTGGAAGTGGTGCCAAGGTTCCGGCCATCTCTCACACCGCGGCCAGCGGCCAGCGGCCGCACCCAGGATTCACCCCCTGGGATTTATAGGGTTCCCAGGAGTCACCGATTCCGCCAACAGATCTGGAGCAGATCCAAGAGAGGTTGTTCACAGCCTTATAGCCCATCCCATATGTACCACAAACCAGGGTCTTCTCACGTTCTGGTCTCAAAAAACCTCTCTTGGATCGGCCGGATCCACCCGAGTCGCGGAGATCGGCTGGAGAAAACACCACCGTGTCGCAGAGTCGCAAAGAGTCCTTGGACCATCGGGGCGCATAGGGCAGATCGATGATCTTGTGCTTCTGAGTGCCCGCCAGCAGCCTGATTGCCGGGGGTGGAAGGAGTAACTGGAGGGAGTAACTGGAGGAGTGGAGTAGCTGGAAGGAGTAACTGAAAGGAGTAAGCAATTAAAGCACAATACATCGCTTTCAGAATAGATGGCTCATTGCAAAAAGCATCAAAAACCAAAGCCATGTGATCTGAGAACGGACCAGGACCTTCAAAGTGACCTTTTGAGATCCTAGAATGAGGTCACGACTCGTCCCTAAAGAGGTCACTTGGAGACTCCAAAGAGGTCACGTCCTGAAGGTCCTGGGAGTAAATCCAACTCATGGTCACTGCCGATGTGAGGGATGCACCGGCCAAGCGCCCGTCCCGTGGCGGTGGGGTTTTCATGCCTTGCAGGGTCGAAGAACATGACTTCAAGATCGAAGGGGTGAGGGCACCTGGGGTTTTCATGAAGGCCATGTCCAGTCATTCCCAAACACTCCATGGGACTGCCAAATATGCCGATCAGTTGGCGTGGTTTGAGGGGTCAATGTAGGCATATATGGCATACATGGAGTGTCTGGGATTTGGTGTTCAGGACATGTCAGAACAACGAGTCCATGAAACATGGTGCTGCGAAGTTTCTGAGATCACCTGAGATCCGATCCCTTCAACTGGCAATCTTTGGGATTTTATTTGAAGCCTTTATATATGCGATGCGAGGATCTAAGGAGTCACCATGAAAATACCCTATACATATCGTACATATACATACAGCATCATACAGCTACAAGGGCAATATGGATACTCCCGCACACCAGCACACCGACCACGGTTCAAGGGTCTTCAGCCCCTTTCTGACGGGGCAAGGTACCGGCCATGCTCATCCATGAGATTGAGATTCAGCCAGGGGAACTTGGACTCCTCACAGGCTCGCGCCGCGTGGCTATAAGATGCCTTCAGAGCTTTTACTTCTTTGGAGGGAGGAACCCACTGAGTTTTTGGACCGCCAAACGGCAGCAAGGCAGGGGGGTTCTGGAGTCAAGTTCTGGAGTCCATGGATGACTCACACCCAAGTCCAGCATCTGGGAGTCGGAGAATCCACCCAACGAGATGGATTCAAGACCATGTAACATATCCCTGGCATTCAAAGACTACCATGGAGTCTCAAAGTGCCTCGGAAAATGGGTACAAGTACTTGTTTTTTTAATGGTGTCATGTTCCATTTTCTAAGGTATTTGAAGTCGGGTCCAGGTATATATAAAAATAATGGTCTTTAGGTGACCCGAGTTCAGGAATTTCCTGTACTTCAGTCGGTCAAACAATGGTCCAACTGGACTTCTAGGCATACATGGATCACCATGCGCCTTCCATAGCTCAAATGATTAGGTCTCGACCTCCCAACGTTCGACCCTCTCTGATTTGAGGCTGAGATCCTATATCACCCCAGGGATCCGCACCCTCAAAAACACATGTTTTGAGGGTGCTAGGTTATAGAGTTTTCGGACGCCATGGAGAGCCCGGCTTCCGGGATTCTTAGGGTATCTGTTAACCAGGCGCCTTCGTTCACCCTTCCGGCGGGCACGGGTCGAAACGGTGCCCGGATCGACCCGAGTGACCAGGCGAGTCGTCCAGCGCCGAGCCGGACCATCGGGTCCATCCGCGTAGCTGGTCGCAGGTCGCAGGTTTGGTAGACTTCGTGTACGGGCTGGATTCAAGCATCGTCTCATTGGGGATGGAGATGGGGATGTGGGCATGGTCTGTGCATGGTCTGAGTTTATTCACCAAATTGGTCATGCGGGGCCCCAAGACATGCTTCAAAAGGATGCGAACACAACTTGCTGGTATGAGAGAACATCTGGAGTTCAGCTTGTGACTTGTCGCCCGGCCCACCTTGCGATGCCTGAGCCATTGCATTTGTTTAGATCGAGCTACCCCTCCGCCAAAAAAGATATACAGTAAGACTACCCGTCCAAATATATAAAATTTATCGATACACTTGGATCAGGAGGCTCACACCTATCCCAAACACTCCATGGGACTGCCATATATGCCTACATTGAGACCCCTGGCACCACCCCAACTGATCGGCATATATACGGCAGTCCCAGACAGGTCGTGTCTGGGTTATATACTTTATAGACCCTCACGCTGTCCTGCATCCTTTGCCGCAGGACGTCGACGCCGAAGTCGAACTCATGGTTCCCCAAGGACGCCGCGGTCAAGTTCAAGTAGTTCAACACATCCACTGCCTGGACGGCGCGCGCTACAGGCGGGCACCAGCTACACAGCAGGCAGGTTGAAGGTTGAAGGACGTCGGGACGTACGTCGTGTCGCCATCACCACCACATCCGAACGATTGAACATCGGTGAGCCCTAGGAACGTCATTTGTTTCCCATACACTCCATGGGACTGGAATATATGCCGCCCCATTGACTCCCCAAACCACCCCAACTGATTGGCAGTCCTATGGCAATCTATGGCATACATATGCATACATGGAGTGTATGTGTTTTGTTTTGATGTCGTCTCATTTTCTTGGACGAGAATCGGACGGCGGGATAGGGTGGGGAGAACAACCACACCACGCACACCGGAACTCCGATCGAAGTACCTCCTCCATGGAAGAGAAGCTGGATCCTGTACCAGCACCTCTAATTGAAACGTGCTAGGGCCTAACAACCCTCCATTTCGGAGACCTGTTGCAGGGTGCTGGTAGAGGTGTCGAGCATTGCAGAAAAGAGTGAACCCAAATTCTGGGCTGTCTTGGCTTACCCTCCAATTTTTTGAACATGTTTCTCTCTTCTCACGGCACACCCTCCAATTCAAGGCATGACGGCAGCTCTCATAAAAAAACAATAAACAACTCCCTGAACAAATCCTCGTTACATGGACTTCACCACCACCAGTTTGGATCTTAAGTTTTCCATTTGATCCACGTTTGGCGTGGATGATTGAGAAAATTGTGAGTGTAATTTTCCAAGGGATCACAAAGGTGGTGAACACCAACGGTGGGGAAATGTACCTTAAAACATCCACCCTTTAAGGATCCTTGAAGGAATCGTTTCGGTTCTCAGTCACGCATCTCCCCACCAGAAACCAATCAGTGGCGGGAGGCTTTCACACACCCTTCGCACTCCCAAAATAGTGACCAGCGCTGAAACCACCCATTCTTCGTGAAGAAACACCGCGCCTGACGCCCCTGAAACAAATCGCTCAGCACCGAGGGTGAAAGCAAGTCCCCGGCGAAAACGACCAGCGTTCGGTCCGGGTTCCGCTTTCGCGCACCTTAGTAACGGGGAGAAGGTCAACGCTGTAGGTTACTGGCCATTTGAGCTCTGCAAAATACGTATGATTAAACCCCTATGTCGCATAACTTTCTTATGTTCCTGCTTACGTTTTTCTTAACGCGACCACAATGTGACCTTACGCGCCACGGATGTTGAAGAAGACCTTACGCAAATCTTACGCTTCTGCATTTTCACAGAAACTCACAGCTGACCTTGCCAACACTCAACTTTCCAATTCTGAACTAAGAGTGGTGGGGAAAGTTCATCCTTTGCCACTTACCTGAAACACTGTGCACACAAATGTCAGTTCCCAAGGGTTTCAAAGCTCTCATGGTCCATACAGTTCCTTTCTTGACAAGGTGTGTATGCTAAGAATCTGAGCGACCGGCAAAACTAGGGGTCGTTTGGTGGTACGTTTAGAGCATGGTATCGTTTTTGGGATTGGTATCGTTTTTTCAACCCATATGCAATTTTTTTTGGGAGGTATCGTCTAAATGTAATTTGCTCTGGAAGGTGATCTTGCAAATGATGACTAGTAGTCGTCGTGTACTAGTACTAGTACTACGTACTAGCAGTAGTAGTAGTAGTAGTAGTAGTAGTAGCAGTAGCAATAGTAGTAGTAGTAGTCGTCGTCATCGTCGTCACAGTAGTAGTAGTAGTAGTAGTAGTAGTAGTAGTAGTAGTAGCAGAAATAGAAGTAGTGGCATGTGAGTGGGCAGGTGGTGTCTGAGGGGATACAGACCTATGAAGTGGGTATCGTTTGGTATCGTTTTTTGGTATCGGTCTGAAACCATAATTGTTTCCCATCAAAGAAAAAGAAGGGAAAATTAGCAAAAATGAACTGGAATGTCCAGCTAGCATGGCAAACCATATGCAAAAAAACCTTGGACATACACTGTCTCGAGTGTCAACATTGTCAACAGGCAAAGATAGATTCCAAGATGTGTACCGTCACAAGGCTAGGTATCGTTTTTGGGATTGGTATCGTTTTTTCAAGGAACATGCAAATTGCTCATTTTTGAAGAAACGTGAGCGCCGACCTTTAGCACTTTCTACTAATGAAAACACAACCATATATATTGGCAAGCTTACGCAACATTCATGTCTCGCAACTCCCGTATACGCAACCGTGACGCTTTTCAGGTGTTTGCTTACGCCCAGGTTCCATATGACAAGGCCTTTACTTCATCTTGGAAGGTTTCTTGCGGTGTTCATTTGCCAATCAACAACTTTCATTCCGCGGTAGCGTTGAACGCTCTCAACATCGGTGAGCCGCTTGATGTGGATGTCCAACCAGTGAAGGTTCATGTGCTAACAAGTGGTTGGTGCCAACAAGAAGTCAACTACTACCCACATGGTCCAACCAGAAAAGGTCCCTGGCTGTGCTTCTTGAAAGACCATGAAAGACCCATGTTACCAACACAGTGAGCCTTTCAAACCACCATGGGTGGTCATTAAAATGGTGTTTGGCCTATGTGACTCGACTGAGTCGAGCCGTGATACTGAGATCTGATACTCGGATCTTGGACTTGGTTCGTCCCAGTGGCCTGAGACAACTTCCAGGACCTGACTCTACAGGTCACCAATGGTTCGACCTATTAGGGTCCAACAACCCTCAACTAACAGCCTATTGGAGGGTGCTGGTTTATGAATCTTACATGAGATTTCTTCACATCAAAGGAATAGATGAACAAACACTTTATGCCCAGGACCCTCCTGTCGGGGTGTCTCTTTAAAAAACCCTTAGCCGTGATTCGGGGTGGGTTTTCCACCCCCCTGCCCCAAATTGCTGTCCCACACCCAAACACTCCATGGGACTGCCATATACATTGACCCCCAGTCAACCATCCCTGGCCGTGAAACTCGGCAGTCCGTCAGACGGGTCGCGTCTGGGTGATACTTAAAAAGTCACCTGAACTAGGACCATATACGGGTACCTATCCCATACACTCCATGGGACTGGCATATATGCCCTCCCATTGACCCCTCTGGCACCACCCCAACTGATCGGCATATATGGCAGTCCCATCGGTCGCGTCTGGGTTATAGGCATAGTCTAGTTCGGGTTCTTCAACCTTATCTGGTCCCATGGGTCGTCTGGGACATCCCACGACACGAACCAAGTCACGTTCGATCACATAGGCTGCACGCGACATGCCACCCTTACGCGTGCCGTCCTGCCGTCTGGGAAAGAAGGAATCATAAAGCGAATCTGGAGCAAGGTATATACCAGAGTCTTCTATCGGAACTATTTTTTTATCATATTTTATCATCCTGACAAGGCATTATCATAATCTATAGCGACTGTCATAATCTGGACAAGGTATATATGGTCGCTCTGAACCCCAAATGGGACATCGTTGGCCGGAAAATGGGCCATGGATGCATGCGAGTATGTTGCCATCAGCCCGCCAAGGGATTTGGCTCCAAACACCCCAAGTTTGGGTGAGCAACATGAGACCATCAGCGACGGCGGTCTAGTGCGGACGGACGGACCACGAGGTTCAGGCAAAGAGGCACAGGAACAACCAATTCCAAAGATCCACACATTTTGGAGTTGACCCGTTCCTACCTCGGAAAATGGGTACAGCCGTAATCTATAGAGTCATGTCCCATCATACTAGGGTCCACATATATATTCGAGCTACTCTAATTGCTCACACGCACATCTAGGAGGCTTCACCTGCCGCTCTACGAAAACGGCACCTATAGATAATTAGGCGGCTACGCTGCTGCATGCAGCTTTTTCCCACATTAGTCCAACCGGAGTTTGAAGCCGACGCTCCATGCTCCACTCAACACCCAGGCCACGCCGGAGAGTCTGCAGAGGTCGTCGGACGCTTCTTCATGCGGACGGACGCCCTCCTTGAGGACGCCCGCCATCTCGTAGACATCGTTGAAGTGGATGATGGTGATCCTCGACACCGGGTTTTTTTAGGCCCCCAAAAGGTTCATTCATTGGACCGGTCTCTGGAAATCTTGGTTCAAAGGAGTGGCGCCGTTTGTCTACCTGAAACGGGCTCCATCGGAGTAGACCCCGGAAAAACCAAGGAGTTTTGATCGTCTGTCCCTTCTTCCAGGGGGTCCCCCACGCCTGGGTGGCGTCTTCCGCAACCCATGTGGTCACCCGGGGGGAGGACAAACAGGGGCCAGTCCCAGCAACTTCCAAGAGAGGTGGACAGTGACCGTAAATAGGACCTTACTGGGGTACCGAGCTGGGATAGTCTAGTTCGGGTTCTTCAACCTTTGTTGGTTTGCCTCACCTGTGAAAACTTCTTCGTTTCGCAGCCCTGGTAGAAGAAGCCTGATGATCGTTTAGCCTAAATCTTGTGATATCTTGTGATCCTAACCAATGCATGTAAGGGCTGCTCATGGATGCTGGTCAATCTTATTGACAAAGGGGCCTTTCTGGTTGACGTCAGCATGTTACAGGTATACTGACGTCTTCTCCCGCTTTGGCTGTTGATCGCATGGGGCCTAAGTTGCATCCTGTAGGGCTTCACTATTTCCAAACAGTTCGGTCAATGAGACCCATACAGCACAAGCTGCTCCTAGAGTCCTCATCGTCCACCTTTGGTCATTCCCAGGAGCTCGTTGGCCAAAGCAGGGACCACCTTTTCTGCATTGGCGATGGAGGGCTCGTCTTGGTTGAGGCAAAGCCTGGGGATTGCCAGGGAAGCCGACGCGACGGATGGAGGATCGCCGGGTCCGGCATGGATTGGCCACTGCGGCAATACTTCACGGTCCAAGTCATGTTTTACACAACAAATGCATATGGCCCTTACTTACTCACGGAACCTGTGATGCAGGGGGGATCAATGCATCAGCCGGGTGGATTTGGGTGGCTTCACTGTGCTGAAACCACCTCCATGATCTCGGGAAGTATGCCGGCCCAAGCGAGGCCCTGAGAGTTGTGGGAGTCCGGTCATTGACATCAATCCCTCAACCGCGGGTCATACGGGCGATACATGGATCAAAACAGGGGGTAGCACGGGAGCATCCCAAACCATCCGCGCCCAGTCTTCCCCGCCAGACCTCAACCACGACCATCCATGCCCAGTGTTCCCCGCCGGACCTCAACCAACTGGCAAAACGGGAAGAGAGAACTAAAACCTACAGGCCTCCGTGGCCTTCTCTGGTCAAGCCACATCCATATTCCCTAGGGCCGCCCTGGGGATTCAAGTACCTTCTCAGGTTAGGTGAGGACGTTCGACACTCTTATGTGGGTTTTGAGGGTCCAGTCGTACCGAACCTGAGAAGGTACCGGATCCCTTGGGATTGTCCCAAAAGACGATCCTTGAGCCCATCGCGTCGACGATCCTTGAGCCGTTTCGTCCCGCGCATCGAAGCTGGGGAGATCGATCGAGACCGAGAGATCTGTCTGAGGAATGAACTGTTCATAAGAACATACACGACCCATGGGACTGGCATATATATATATATATATCGCATATATGCGGCCATTGACCCCCAGTCAACCACCCCTGGCCTGATCGGCAGTCCTATGGCAGTCCCATGGAGTGTCTAGGTCAATTGATAACCTCAACATTCCAAGCAAGTTCCCGTAATTATTTCCAGTGGACCTTTTCATACCAAACTACCCTGGCCTGTGATCTTACTTCCACAAGCAGTTTCTTCAGCCAATGCATGCGAACCAGCCGTTTTGCGCTGAACACCCCTTCACTGCCCACCGTGATGAGGGGCGGTTTGCCCCTCACGCCCTGAGAGGTGGTCTAAGCTTAGACAGTCCAAGCACCGAGCGGTCTCACCATGACATCCCCAAACCCCCGGGCCATTCACGAAGCAAGAAGCCCGTTGGGCCAGTTGTTCCGGCAATTCCCTTTGGAGCCTCGGGGTCACCCGGTGCGAGTTGGACGTGCGTCCACACCCGCGCGGCGCGGGTGGATGATTCGGAGCGGTTGCCGCAGTCTTGAGAACTCACATACTTGCTTGTTCCCAGTAGCGAACCTTGTTCCGTTGGTAGTATGGCCAGGAGCCCCTCCGTTCGTAGCGTCCGAAGACTCGCTCCGTTCGTAGCGATGCCCAGGAGCCCTGTTCGTAGCGAAGCTTGTTACTCGCAAGTATGATACCCAGACGCTCCATGTATGCCATATATGCCTACATTGGGGTGGTTTGGGGGGTCAATGTAGGCATGTGGCATACATGGAGTGTATGGGATATAAACGATCCAAATCTACCTGGGCCATCCTGTCGGGGTGCCCTGTCTGGAAGCCGGTAGTGTGTGGTAGTCGAGCCAGGGGCACCCCCCCTTGGATGGTCCTGGTAGGTGACTCAGTTATCATCCTGGATCCCGTTTGGCAGACCTGTCCAAACCGCCCGGATGTCATGGCCAGGTGGCTTGGAACGGCGAACCATCCATCCGACGCAGCAGGGTTGACTGCTATCATCCCCCCCCTCTGATGAGATCTGGATGAGTCCTCTGATGACACGTTTCCAAAAAAGAAACACCATGCCAATCAAAGCAGGTACACTGCAACTCACTGACATAGAAGTGCCATCCACTTCCATGTTTGTGAGTCAGCGGGTGCTTAATTAATTGGCATCTGCTGGCCGGCTGGCTCCAAGGTTCCATGTGAAAAAGGAAAGCTTTGCAACTGGCGTCCCCCACCCTGGGATCCCGCCCCCCCCACCCTCACCGCAGCGGCTAATGTAACCGAAGGAGAGCTTGTCGAAGGCGACACAGTATGGATCCAAGATATCGTCCCCATCGCAGTCATGGTATTCTAACCTCAAACGAGCAGAGCGAAGAAAGTAGCTAAGAAGCTACTATAGTAGCTCTTGGCATTACTACTAGCAAGAAGCGGGAGCTACTTCTGCCACTCTGGATGCAGTGCCTACACCTCTTGCGTGAGCTCGTTAGGCTTCGCACGGTTTTGCGCCGATGACGATGCAAATGGAGCCTGGACTTTAACCTACAAAGTGGCCCCCATCCTGGATAGGTGACCCAAGCATGGCTAGGGGTCAAAACCGGGGAACCTTGGTTGACCACCCTAAAATGAACAGAATAGACGACAAGCGGCCTACCAGGGAGGTCCACCTACCAGGGAGGTCTGGGCGTTTTGATCCGTCAAGCTCACTGGATCCAGCCGCCACGAAGCGTACGACGAAAGGATGCAACGATTCGATTCATCTCTCTGGTCCAATCGCTCCGAAATGGGCGTTGCCATAGAGCCTCAACTTCAGGATATCTTGATTGTACCTCAAGCGGACTTCATTCATATTCAATAGTTCCCATGGTCCATGACCATCTGAAAGGAAAAGGAGAAACAAATGGAAACGGATCAAGTCGCAGCAGATCTATGATGCAAAAACACACACAGATTGCCTGGATGTGTCTGGGGGGTTCATCGCACTCCTCTCGACGAACACCCAGTCCCATGCGACTCAGAGATCTCCACAACCCTGTGAACCCTCCGAATCCTTTGGGGAGAGTTGATCCGAGTCTGAAGGTGTTTGGAAAAATAACACATCAACATAAACACACACAAACATATGTCCCACATGTGCTTCTTTCATCAAACAAAAACACATGAAAGGTATTGATCATCGATCCCAAAGCTTCTTTGAGCCTGCACGGGCCACCACCCGCGCCACACGCCTCGCCCCACTCGCCTCGGCCTCGACCCGCGACCGTCCAGATTCTCCAAGCGGCCGATCGTCCGGGCCCCGGCAGAAGCCTCGCTCGCGAACCGAAGGAGTCCAAAGGTCGGGAGGTGGCCCGATGGACGCGGTCTTGGTCTTACCAAGAGAGATCATAGAAAAGGACCCGTCACCTAAGGTACCGAACTGGGATATAGTTGAAAGTCCATTTAAAAGACCATATAGGCTTCTTATGGGGTTCTTCAACCTGTTGGTTGCTACTATGGGCAGAGAGCTCCCTCCACTCGGGCGCGACCTGGCGCGAGATCGCGGCGCGAGATCGCGGCGCGCATGGCGTGCGCGATAGGCGCCCGCGCGCGCCTGAGTGGATGTGACAAGCGCCAGGAGGAATCTCCGTGAGGCCTAACTTCCTGAGAGCGTGCTTCACCCTAAGGCTCCTGGCCCACCTCCGTGAGAGAAGGTGGGACTGGGGTGGGTGGGTGGTTTGGGGGGTCTAACCACCGAACCTGAGGAGATGGGCCAAGAGCCCTAGGGTCACTGAATTCTGGAAAAGAAGTGAGGATGTTGGGAGCTGGACTTGTTCATTTGATTGCTGGTGTTCGAAGTGATCTGCTTGTTGTTTTCCTGTCATTCCTTTGTGGTGATTGATCAATGGGCTGGGCCATCCCCCATTCACAGGTCGCCTCTTCGTCAGTAGACCCAAGAAAATCCACCGGCATGGGACAAAAACAAACTGCTCGCTTGCATGTCCGGCTCAGGTGAGTCTGAACCAGAAGTGTCTGAACTTGTGGGTTCAGACATCACTCTGTATGGCGGCCATACCAGCCAAAAGGATTACTTTTTTTCTGGGCACGTCACCATCAATGTACTGACTCCATGTCGATGCTTCAAGCTTCAAGTGATTTCAAGAGGCCAGCCGCCCTCAAGTGGACTGGTGTTCAACTGATTATACTATACCACGCGTACGTACGGCTCATTGGGTGGAGTTCTAGTCATCGCCGTAGCGTCAAACGCTGCTCCGACGCCGCGTAGCACAGCGAGGCCAGCGTTTCGCCGGTCCCGTCGCTGCTCCGTTCGGCGTCGTGGCGAAGGCTGCCGCGTTCGGCGGCCCTGGGGCAATCCAAAGAGGCAAAGAGGATACTGACTCTGAGGTCTATGAAGACACAAAGGTGAAGACCCATTTATATATACATTTAAACTTGATATGAGTGACATGAGATGTATATTATGTGGTGTATTAATGGTATACAAGACCAAACATAGTGAGAAACGCATAGAAACGCCCTCCTAAAAGTGGTTCAACAGGGGTGTTGTTGGCAAGCGTCACGGCTCGTCATGGGGATCACTGATTAGTCGAAAAGGCTTTCCTCCGACCTTGGGCATGTGCCATTCCCAGAAAGACTGATATATAGTTTAATGGTTAGGTTATAGGCCTTTCTACAAAAATGTGATCATCTTTACCGCCTGTTAGTGGTTTACTGAGAAAATGGACCTGTGCCAGGTGAAAGGCACCAATTCTTAGTTAGAAGGTCTCCTCATCAAAACTTACCAACTGGCATCGCCTGCACGGACTTAGATCTTCTAGAGCCAAAGTTCTGAAGAAAACTGTATCCGTATACTGCTTATTACTTACTAAGGAAGCTGATCGAAGTCAGTTTACTGAAGGCTGTGACCTGTTAAGACTTAAGACCTTCTGCCCCCAGACCTCAACCGAAACCAGATTCACCCGAATTAGCAACTAGAAAACCTCCGTGTGTGGCCGTGCCATCACTTCCCAGGAAAACTGCAGGGTTTCAACCCACCAAGCAAAATCCAAACATGCCCCCAACACACCGGCAGAAGCGCCGCACCCGCGGCCATCTCGCCTCAAGACCCTCGCGTGCAGCACCAGCACCACTGCGGCCACCAGCGCCGCCGCCGTCGCGCACGCGGCCAAGCCGCGGCGCAGCGGCGCGGAACGTGGCGACGGGTCAGCGCGGTCCGCGAGGTGGTGGGGTTCCAGTAAGGAGCCGCGCTCGTCCATGGCGGAAGACAGGTCAGTTGTGGGTGCACCTGGCACCCCTGCGGATGTTTTGGGAGATGTTTTGGGTTTGTCGAACTCCAACAAAAAGCCACTGTGGATTCAGCGAATGCGGAGAAAATGCGACAGTCAGTTTGAGTGGACTGGACCGCCAAAACCAGGGGTCCGGTAATATTCGGTGTCACATGTGATCATCCTCACCAACAACCACGACCAACAAAATGGCTCCTTCCATGCTATAAATGATGTGAGATGTGTGATCTTCACCGGTGCTTCTCAATCTCTGTGATGATCTGCAGCTTTTGACCGACTGTGATCCTGCGACAGCTATCGAGGCGATCGATCGACTCGGCTACTCGCCCCAGCTCAGCTACTCAGCCCCTTTCTCTGCTGATCTATGCGTCGACCCTTCGCGTGGCGGTCGTGTCCGGTGGGCGGAGTGCCACACATGGAGTGTCTGGGAGGTGTTCGGAGGATCCTCCAATGTTTGGAGCCCACCCACACGTACCCAGACACGACTAATGGGACTGCCATAGGACTGCCGATCAGGCCAGGGGTGGTTTTGGGGGTCAATGAAAGCATATATGGCAGTCCCATGGAGTGTCTGGGTTATATCCCTACAAATCCAAGTACATTCTGAGAAGGTGATTAGAGACACTGTTATGTAGGTACCAGGAGGGTCCAAGTACCTTCTGAGAAGGTACGACCGGATCCCTAGGGATAAACTCATTTTGCCGTCCCTTTAACATGTTCACGACCCATTTAACATTTGGATCCTAATACGTTATTCTGGTGGAACTCTTTAGGTCAAACGGTCAAACCTTCCATTCTCCAGCTCCATGAATCTGATGGGCACCCCACTCTAATTAGAGTCCCACCTCACATTCTCCTCACACTGGTTGACGGTCCGAGTGCGTTTGCAGCTTCTCGTCGAGTCTAAACCCCCAACTGAGTGGACTCACGAACCCGCTCCGTCGCCCGTTCGTGTGGCAGCCTTAAGGGCCAAAACCCCCAAAGACGGAAACTCATGCACTCCCTGAGCTCATGTAATGTGGGAAACTCATTAGACCCCTTGGAAGACTGACCATGTGAATGACGAATTACTGCATGTCATATATAACCCCGCCCCGGTCTCATCTTCCGAGGGTTTTCGGCCACAAATCGAACAACAACTGTTCGCACCACTAGGCTAGACTCGTCAGGCATCTCCCCAAATCAGTTCCAGCCTCTTCTGATCCCCCCCAATGAGGGGGGGGAACTTGTAGACCATTCCTGAGACCGGTCGGTCGACCGGGATGTGAAGACGAGTCCGGACGAGCTTCCACCAGAGGCCCCGGTGAAGTGAAGGAAGTGTTCCTTCTGAAAAGACTTTTTAACACATGTTTATCACATTATTACATTAATACAGTTTAATTAAGTAGTCTATATGCCAGTAGTTTAATCTGTTAAAATAAACTAAACAACATATTAATCACATTTGTGTAGTCTTTGACTCTTAATCAACTGTGCACTCTATACTAAAGGATGATCGTCTTTGCACTTCGTGGAGGGCGTTAGAAAAAGTCGCCGCCGAAGCCGGTAGCATTCCTACATAAAGCTCGATCCTATAATGACTAGGTCAATGTCACTCAGAAGTTCAAGCCCAAACGCTCCATGGGACTGGAACAGATGCCGCCCCAAACAGACCCCCTGGCACCACCACCACGTGATACGTAGTCCCATGAGTCGCGTCTGGAAAGGACTCCTTGACGAGGCGACGAGGTGATTTCATGTCCGTGTCATCGGCCTCATCTAGTTGAAATGGTCTTCTTCCTACTCCCTCCCCTGTGGAAACACCCAGGTGGAAACCACCGGGGATGAAAGGCTGCTGCTTTCCGGTCTGTGGCCTGAAAGAAACGATGATATTGCTTCATCGCACGCTCAGTTACGGTTCGGTTTTTTCATGCACCCAAGGCGCATGGAAGGGGACAAATAAAACAACATGTCTCTCGTCTTGAAACTGACTTCACTCATGTCCTAAGCCGCAGTTGGAGTCCTAAGCCGCAGTTGGGGCCCTCCTGTCATGCCTGACCCGCGCATGTGCACATCTTGAGGTCCAATGAACCCGTACAGAAGGAGGCAAATCAGACTGTTCGCTTCATTTACTCAGTAAACCCTGGGAGTCCAGTCGACTATAAAAAGAAAGGAAACTTCCTTTACTCCAGCCGGTCAAAATATAGTCGAACTGGACTTCTAGGGTCAATAATTGACCAACTGATCCCCTCCCCTTGGTGCCCACACATCCTCGGTGTCCACGGCACGTTTTTTCGGGTTAAGACCCGGACGCCCGGAGCTGCTTCGAGCCGCCGCGGCGGTTGAGCGCGGGAAGCGCCGCGCCGAGGGAGATGGGAAGACGTGAAGGTCCGGACCCGACACGCAGGGCTTGGACCTTCCTTCTTCCTTCTTCCTTCTCCCTTCTCCCTTCTCGGACGGCAGAATGGGAACCCCAGACCCGAATCAGACCAGACCAGGGCCTCAATTCTGAGGGTGGTTCTTGACTTCATATAACTAAATGCCATGATGCTGCATGACCAACTTCATTGAACTGAGCTTCTGTAAGGGAATGCATCCAAAAAAACAAAGGACCTGCTTCAGGCAGGTGAGCAGTTCTATCACCCAGACACGACCCATGGGACTGCCATATATGCCGCCTCATTGACCCCCCTGGCACCACCTGGCCTGATTGGCAGTCCTATGGCAGTCCCAGACACGTCGTGTCTGGGAACATGTGTTCCTCCGGTGTCCGGTGTCGCTTCCACGGAGAAAACCTGGTGAGAGAAACCTGGAGTCTCCACGGAGGTCGGCCTGAGCACAACAAGTGAAGGACTTGAAAAAGGGACCGTCTGAAAAGAGAGGAGTTGAAACAAAGGACCCTTAAGGACTCACTTAAGGACCCATTTTTTAACTGACTGTATACACCGACTGTATGCACTGATATGCACTGATACACAGAATGTGTCACAAACTGACTGTATACACTCCCACCACCCCAAAAAAACACTGATGTGTCACATGGAAGACCATAGAAGTTCCACTAAGCCCCCGTGGTTTTAGAATGTCATGGTCGATGCCAAGGGCCCTTTGAATGGCCCATGGTCCACATCCACATGTCATTTCTCGCATCTTCGGCTCTCAGTACGCATGCTCACATCGTCCTTCGACTATACCGACAAAACCCTGACAATGTTCCCAGACACTCCATGTATGCCATATATATATGCCGATCAATTGGGGTGATTTGAGGGGTCAATGGGGCGGCATAGTGTAGGCAGTCCCATTAGTCATGTATGGGGTTGGGATGTTGGATGGGGGCCTCCAGGAAGGTCGACAGTCCGAACGGCACACCCTGCTTCGATCCGCCCAGCCTAGACCTGGTGACCGTGATCGTCACATGACCGACCTGCCCGACCCACGGATCTGATTTCCTTCGTGGTTCGTAGCGATCAACGGCAGGCACTTTGGCCGTGGGGCACGGGACGTCGAAGGAGACGACCCGACGACCCCGGCGCAAGCGCCGTGGAGGTGAGGTGAAAAAGCACCGTCCTCGCGTTCCAATGAGCTCTTAAGAAGAACACCGAAGGAAAACACCGGTAATTGATCGTATACTATGGGCTTGGATTGGTGCCCCATAGTCAGAGTTTCAAGAAGTTGATGGTGAGAATGTGAGAACTCACTGCTTGAGCTTTTCAGATGGCAGCAAGCTGAAGAGCGACCAAAAGGACCTCTGTCGTTAACGTGGCAAGTCGGGAGGTTTCAACCTTCAGGATGGTTTGGCATCTTTCAGCTCAATGGATTGAAACACACTCTCAGGAAACCCGGGGCTCTGCATAGGATTGGCTTTAAGTCCTTGATAGTCCTTCACGATAGCAATGTGTCAGCGACTCTATATCGGGGGATTGTCTGAATTTCCCAAGTTTAAGAGTGTCCCGATGATTCTATGCAAGCGGTCCACTTTGGTCCGTACTTGCTTGCCCTTATTTGACATCTAATGCTTCAGCCTAGGACATCAGCCACCATATATATACATCAGCATCCCCTTCAAATATCCACGGAGACGATGGAATTCCATTTTGTAACAATGATTTGCGGGGGGCAGAGTTTGGCAAAATAAAATGTAAAGAGCCCGAGAACACTCACTATAGAATGCAATGGCTGAAGAAAAAAGGATCATCGAAAAAGAAGGTGAAAAAGTGCACTACAAAATGGAGGGTCTAACCTAAGTTAAGGCTTTCCAAAATTGGTAGACCATAAACCCTGGTTTTGCATTTTGTAGTTTACTCACTGGTGACTGCCAAATTGACAACCAAAGGATGGGCACCGTCATTCTATTTGATAATCTTTGAATATCTTTGATCTCATTTTGCGCCCTAAGAGCCCAAATGGGTCTAACCATGTCCGAACAATTTTACAAAATCTCACATGATGTTACCGAAATCAGGTTACTACAAAATGTGTTTTTACTCAAGTGGCCTCACTACAAAATGACTGGCCTACCCCCCGGGGTGCTTCGAACATGTAACAAAATGTTCTGGTACAAAATGCCAATGGCCGAGACTCTATGTGTGCATTCCCGGGCATTAACCATAACAGGTCTACAAATTGAAAGGCACCATCCCCTCCCAGGTACCCTCAAAATCAACTATGTTCCAGATTTATACTGGCCACATGGCCATCCATTCTGTAGTGGATATTCTACATCAGCCATCATCAGCCTGGAATATGACCCTGCAGGAAAAAGACAACTGCAACAACCTCGGATGGGGCGTGAAACCTACTGGTGCCCGCTGAAGTTAATACATTTTGCATGTGGGATACTAAACCACCATGGAACGCCGATTTGCAAAAGTCAGTACTTAAGTCAAGACTGCTGGCCTTCCCCATTGTAAACGCTACATACAGAACAATGTTCTCCAGATTCACCTTTCCAAAAAGAGAAAACTTCAACTGCAAATCCCAATGGCAACGCAATTTGGAGAGCTACCCGACGTGGTAACTTACCCCATCGCACATGAACT